ATTGCAACACTGCGCCCAGGCTTGGAGAAATGGTCTATTAATAATGGAGCCTTGAACCGATTAGAAATTGCAACCGTGACGTCAGGAGATGAGTGGTCGGAGACCCAAATTGTGCGGAGACGGTTCGCCGGGGGGGAGACTTAATGGGAACTGCATTTTTTGCACGTAAATTGCATACAAGAATGTTTTAATTAATAATTATCGTTTAGATTATTTTTAAATGTCGCTTGGATGGGGCCGAAATGCGTCGAAAAAAGTCGAAAATGAGAGAGGTTTTAGCGGGTTTGACATTTACTGGCATTTCGGATGAGTGGAAAATAAGAGGAGTTTGTTATTGTTTTAATTGTTTTTAGATGGCCTTTACCTGAAACGGGGTAATAAAATTTTAAAAATGTAAAGTGACTAAAGGCCGTGTGGAGATTACGTGACTTATTTATCACTTGTTTTGTAAGTTGGATTTGTAAACTTTAAGAAAATAAGAAAAATTAGCAAATCCCATTGTTTTGACAAGATTTTAAAATTTTTATAGCTTGGTTCTGTTTTGACCATTTTCGAAATTAGTCTAAAACGTACTCCGGAACCACAAACAAACCATATTTTTCGAATCAGCATGTCGAAATCTACATTCCAGAATTTTTTGCGAATTTTTAGGCGACTTTTTTAAAATCAAAATTTCTCAAAATGACATTTTCGATAATTTTTTGACAATTTTCTAAATTTACCTAAATACATTTTCTTGTCGTTTTCGACATTCAGAAGTTATTTTCGAGCTCGTTTCTTCCATAACTTTGGCCATTTTTCGAGAATCGCCCATCGAAACATGGAAATTTTTGGATTTTTCATAAAAATTTAATTCCAAAGGGAATATTTCTGAAACCATTTTCCGGGACCAATTTTACGAATAAGCCCGTCGAACTCTATAGATCCCAGAATTTTTTGCGGACTTTTTTCCAATTTTGATTTTAGTACTTTCGATTTTTTGATTTTAGAATTTTCGATTTTTTAAGTTTTTGTTTACGAAATTTGTAATTTCCGATTTTTCGGTATTCAAATTTTCATTTTTTTTCAGTTTTCTCGATTTAAAATTTTTTTAATTCTTCGATTTTTCAAAATTTCGGAATTTTCACTTTTTTAATTTTCGATTTTCCAATTTTTCCAGTCTTCTATTTATAGACTTTTTAAATTTTTTTACTTTTTGATTAATCGATTTTCAAATTTTCGACTTTTCATTTTTTTTTGTTTGTCGATTTTTTGATTTCTCGAGTTTTCGATTTTCGTAGCTCGAATTTTCAATGTTTCAACTTTTCCATTTTTAGAATTTTCGAGTTTTACATTCTTGAGTTTTTGACTTTTCAATTTTTTTTCACGGTTTCTTGAACTCTTAGTTTTTAATTTATTCAGTTTTTCGATTTTCTAATCAGCTTTTTCGTTTTTTCAATTTTTTTACATTTCGTTCTTTAATTTTTCGAGTTTTCGATATCTGGAGCTTTTGATTTTTCAAATTTTCAATTTTCGAAATCTTGAATTTTCGGTCTTGGATATTCTAATTTTCAATTTCTTAATTTCAGTTTCTCAATATTCGAGTTTTCAATTTGTTCCCTTTTGGATTTCTCTATTTTTCATTCTTTCAATTTTCCGATTTTCAGTTTTCTATTTCTCAATTTTCTCATTCTTGACTTTTTAGACTTTTTAATTTTCTTATTTTTCGACTTTTTGATATTCGATTTTCTTTCCTTTCCCATTTTCAATTTTTAATTTTTCAGTTTTTCGACATTTCAATTTTTTTGTTATTCGATTTTTTTATTTCTCCAGTTTTCGATATTCATTGGTCGAATTTCTATTTTTCTACTTTCCGATTTTTCGATTTTTCAGTTTTTTCATTCCTTAGTTTTTAGGATTAATTTTTTTTCTTCTACTATTTTTCAGTTTTCGATTTTTCAATGTCTTTACTGTTCGCTTTTTGATTTTTCTATTTTTCAATTATTCGACCTTCGATTTCTGAATATCTCGAATTTTTGATTTTTTAAATTTTCAATTTTCGAATTCTGGAATTTTCGATATTTCGATATTCTATTTTTCATTTTTTTTTTAATTGCAATTTTTCGATTATTCCATTTTTCGATTTCTCAATATTCGAGTTTTCAATTTGTTTCCTTTTCGATTTTTCTATTTTTCATTTTTTTAATTCTTGGATTTTTCAAATTTTCGGTTTTTGAAATTTTCAATTTTCGATTTCTCAATTTTCTTATTCTTCAATTTTTAGATCTTTTAATTCTTTTATTTTTCGATTTTTCGATATTTGATATTTTTACTTTTCCATTTTGAATTTTTCGATTCAATTTTTCGATTTTTCAATTTTTTGCTTTTCGATTTTTTATTTCTCGAGTTTCGATATTTGGAATTTCAATCTTTCTACTTTATGATTTTTCGATTTTTGATTTACCGAATTTTCGATTTTTCAATTTTTTCATTCTTCAGTTTTTAGGTTTAATTTTTTTACTTTTCCTATCCTACAGTTACCTATTTCATTTTAATTTATTTTTTCACTTTTCGTTTTTTCATTTTTCAATTTTCGAAATTTGGAATTTTCGGTCTTTCGATATTCTGATTTTCAATTTGTGTAATTTTAATTTCCTGATTTTTCCATTTTTCGATTTCTCAGTATTCGAATTTTCAATTTGTTTCCTTTTCGATTTCACTATTTTTTATTTTTTCAATTCTTGGATGTTTTTTTGTGTTTGATTTTTTACTTTTCCATTTTCAATTTTTCAATTCTACAGTTTTTCGAATATTCAATTTTTTTGGTTTTCGATTTTTTGATTTCTCGAGTTTTGGGAATCCATTGTTCAAATTTCAATCTTTCTACTTTCCGCTTTTTCGATTTTTGATTAACCGAATTTTCGATTTTTCAAGTTTTCATTCTTCAGTTTACGGATTTTAAAGTTTTTTACTTTTGAAGTTTCAATTTTCCCATTGAAGAATGGAAAACTGAAGAGTTTCCAATTTTTGAAATCTTTCACTTACTAATTTTCAATTATTTTCAATTTCAATTTCTCGATTTTTAGTCGTTCCATTTTTCGACTTTTCTATTTTTCAATTAATTTTAGAATTTTCTATTTCTTGTTTCTTAGATTTTTCGATTTTTCGAAATCTCGAATTCGAATTGTTGATTTTTCGGTTTTACGATTTCCAATTTATGGATTTTCGAATTTTCGGTCTTCCGATTTTCGGATTTTCAATTTTTTATTTTCAATTTTCTGATGTTTCGATTTTTCCATTTTTCGATTTCGCAATATTCGAGTTTTCAATTTATTTTCTTGTTGATTTCTTTATTTTTCAATTTTTCAATTCTTTGAATTTTCAAATTTTCGATTTTTGACTTCTTTAATTTTCCATTTCTCAACTTTCTCATTTTTCAGTCTTTTTGATTTTATATTTTTCGACTTTTTTGGATATTTGATTTTTTTACTTTTCCATTTTCAATTTCTCAATTCTTCAGTTTTTCGATTTTTCACTTTTCTTGTTTTTCGATTTTTTGATTTCTGGAGATTATCGAATTTTCGATTTTTCAATTTTTACATTCCTCAGTTTCTAGACGTAAATTTTTTTTCTTTTCGGTTTCTCGAATTTGTAACTTTTCAATTCTTCATTTTATCGATTTTTCAGTTTTTCCTTTCCATTTTTCTCATTACTCAGTTTCCATTCTTCCAATTTTTTTAATTTTCGCTTTTTCATTTCTCGATTTTTAATTTTTCGACTTGGAATATTCCATTTTTCGACTTTTCTATTTTCCGATTTTAGAATTTTTTATTTTTAGTTTCTTGGATTTTTTAATTTTTCGAAATCTCGAATTTCGAAATGTTGATTTTTCGGTTTTACGATTTCCAATTTTTGGATGTTCGAATTTTCGGTCTTCCGATTTTCGGATTTTCAATTTTTTTACTTTTTGACAAGAAAATGCGATGAAAAGCCACCAAAAACGTTTAAAAATGTCAACTAAAATAGCGACAAGAAAGCGACGAAAAAAAGACAAAAAAAACAAGGTAAAAAAAAGGCGACAAAAAGGAAAAAAAGAAACCAAAAACGTAAAAAAAACTGAGACAAAAAATGTCACGAAAAACACACCAAAAAAAGAATGAAAAAACAAAAGAGGAAAACAATAAAAAAACGACAAAATTACAAATAAAACCGGAAAAAAGTGAATAAAAGGTAACATGTGAAAAAAATCAATAAAAATGCCTTAAAGAAGTAAAATGCAAAGAAGAAAAAAAGACATCTAAAAAACCGTCACATAAAAAGCCAAAAAATCAATTAAAAAGCAATTAAAAAAAAGGCTTGAAAAAAGACGTTAAAAAGGGCGACAAAAAAAGGAAAAAAAATAGGATAAAAAGCCAAAAAATATGGAAAAAATGCAACAAAAAAACAATTAAAGAAGGTACAAAACAGGGAATAAAATAGCTATAAATAGATATCGACCATCGAAATATGGAAATTTTTTTATTTTTCATAAAAATTGAATTCTCAAGTAAATATTTCTAAAACCATGTTCCGGGACCACAAAAAGCTATATTTTATGAATCAGCGCCTTGAAATCTATATCCTAGAATTGTTTACGGATTTTTAGGCGAATTTTTCAAAATAAAAATTTTATAAACTCGTAAAATTTATTTTATCATATTTATTATTATTAAATTAAACACTCAGAAAACCATTCCTCCTTTCCTCCAACCCTCCAGTCAAGGGCCCGCAAATCCGCGCCGCCGGCCCTGCTTAAAAATCGAAAGTACCATCTAAATAGAACGGTTGAATAATCCGGTCGATCACACTTTTACTTTCCGAAGACTCATCACGCCTCATTATCACCATTTCTCGGGACCTTGAGCCGCGAAAAGCCCCATAAAACCGATCGGAATTTGATAAGCCCTCACCCTTCCTCCACCCGACCATGGTGGGACACCCATCGACCTGGCGAAGATCGCAAGATGCGCAAGGTATAAAGGTGATGAGCCAAAGCCGCCTCGGATCAGTGCTGCCTCCGAGTGTCCAGTGTAAACCGTCCGTTAGTTCAGTGTGCCGCGAATTACGTAAGTACGGAATACCATGAGTCCATGACCCGTCGGGGGCGGCTCGCCGCCTCACCGCCCGTCGAAGTCTCCGCGAAAATCCCGATAGTGAGAAATTTCTGGCTCAGAGTTGGCGCTGTTTTTTTCTCCACTATTTATTTTTTTTGTGTGGTGAGGAGCGCCGACCTTGACACCTTGAACCGGATCCTCTCCGATTAGAATACGAATTTTTTCGAAATGTCAATAGATGCTCCATTTATTGTCGTAAAAATGTCTTTCTAAACAAGTGGGCCCGAAGGTCGGCGTTGCATGAAGTGTTTTATAACAACTGGTTTCGACTTTACGGAGGATGTGCACTATGGAGACGCTGGATTTATGCGGTTTTGCAACGAGTAGAATAGCGATAATTTAGAAATTTGTATATGTCACCTTAACACCTGTTCCGAACTCTCGAGCTTTCGTTTTCTGGCCGAATTAACACAGGCGAATGCGATAATAGGCGAAGTGTGTCAAGTTCAAGACTTTTTTCTGAGTGATTGCTTTTCTTCGAGTCGGAGGAGATAAATGTCAGGACGTCGGTCCATTGTTTCTCTTTCATTGAGCCGGGCAATAAACAATGGGTTTGTTGAATATCGGATTTCAGCATCGAGTATCGGGTCGAGAATCTGAATGGGTTTTTTTGCGGTAAATGTCAGCGCGATGGTCTGTTAAGCGCGGCTCCTGGAGGTGGTGCTCGGAATGCGATAAATTGCTGGGATTATTGATTTTTGACAAGCGTGCTGGAAACGTGGTAATCGGTTAAACTGGCGGATTGCGGTTGATGGCGTGTAATTTTATTAGCATTATTACGCGGAGAAAAACGCTGCCGTTTTTTTCAGCTCTTTCTCTTTCAAAATGCCACGCTTCTTGAAAATATTTCACTGTATATTTTTTGAAAATATCAAAATTTTCCAGAACGTAGTTTTCTTAAAATGCGACTAACTAAAAAATTACAAGAATAAAAAAAAAAGTTTTCATATTTTTTTGAAAATAGTTTTGAAGTTATCATTTTACAAATTTTTGGAAATAAATGCCACACTTTCGTAATTTTTTTTCCCAAAAATTTTTCCAAATCGCAAGATTTCTAAAAATCGTGGAATATTCTGTGAGTCTCTAAGTTTTCTTTTTCTAAAATTCTATACTATTTGAAAATGTTAAAATTTTTGACGACTGTAATCTTTTTAAAATGCGTCAAAGTAAAAAGCGGGGGGGGAGCGTAATTACAAAATCCATATTTCCTGCTTTGAACACGTTTTAAGTTTCTTGTTGCGAAAAGATGACTACCAATATTAAGAAAAAAGGGCCAAATATAAGCCCCGCCCACCCACCCGATCTCAATCGTAATGACTTTCTTTATTCATCATGAGTCAAGATGAATAAAGAAAAAAAATTCTTATGTCTCTGCAAGAAATTATATTCAGTAAAAAATTGGTTCAAAATTATTTCGACAGAATTTTCCTCGCCTCTGAAATACAATAAAACAAAATCATTTTGAAATAATTCATAATTTAGAAAAAACTTAAAACACTTGGGACTAAGGAAAGTATAAAATAAGTAAAATTTGACTTTCAGAGAATTTAAAAAAAAATGTAATTTCTTTACAATTCCCTGGAATGCAATTTTTTTGGAAGTCAGAAAATATAGAAACATACAAATTTTACTTTCAAAGCTGAATTTCCTAGATTTTCAAAAAAATACTACAGAATTTTTCCAAAAATGGTACAATATTTTTTCAGCTTCTAGGTTTATCTTTTTTGTAAAATTCACATTTCTTTTTTTTTTTTAAATCACTTTGTAATAATCCAGAAATTGAAAAAATGTTAAAAATTTTGGATTAAAAGATAATAGAAAAACTAAAATTTCACTTCCAATACAGATTTTCGCAGATTTTCAAAAAATAACTGCAAAATTTTCTTAAATTTGAGTCATTTTTTTTTCTCCAACATTTTATTAAATCGCAAGTTTTCTAAAAATCGTGGAATATTTTGCAAGTTTTTCAGTTTTCCTTTTTGTAAAGGTCTAATTTTTCATGAAAATATTGAAAATTTCCATATACAGTCTTCTTAAAATTCGACAAACTAAAACAAATTCAACAATTTAAAAAAATCAAATTGTTCACAATTTTCAAAATAACTATTTTTTCGTGTTTTTCGAAAATAATTTGTAACGATTCAGAAATTGAAAAACAACTTTAATTTTTTAGGAAGTAAGAAAATACAGAAACCTCAAAATTTGGCTTTCAAAGCGAAGTTTCCCAAATTTTCAAAAAATATTACAGGATTTTCGTCAGTGTGAGTTATCTTTTTCTATAAAATTTTATAAAATCGCTGGATTCCAAAAATGGTAAAATATGTTTTCAGTTTCTAAGTTTATCTTTTTTGAAAAAAATTAACATTTCTTTTTTTTTTGAAAATCACTTTGTAATAATCCAGAAATTAAGAAAAAAGTAAACATTTTTTAAAAAGATAATAGAAAAACTAAAATTTCACTTCCAATACAGATTTTTGCAGATTCTCAAAAAATAATTGCAAAATTTTCGTACATTTGAGTCATTTTTTTTTCTATAAAATGTTATTAAATCGCAAGGTTTCTAAAAATCGTGGAATAATTTGTAAGTTTTTCAGTTTTCCTTTTTGTAAAGGTCTAATTTTTCATGAAAATATTGAACATTTCCATATACATAGTCTTCTTAAAATTCGACAAACTAAAACAAATTCAACAATTTAAAAAACTCAAAATGTTCATGATTTCTAAAATAACAATTTTTTCGTGTTTTTCGCAAATAATTTTGAAAAAATTCAGAAATTGAAAACAACTTTAATTTTTTGGAAGTAAGAAAATACAGAAACCTCAAAATTTGACTTTCAAAGCAAAATTTCTCAAATTTTCAAAAAAATATTACAGGATTTTCGTTGATTTAAGTTATCTTTTTCTATAAAATTTTATAAAATCACTAGATTCCAAAAATGGTAAAATATTTTTTCAGTTTCTAAGCTTATCTTTGTTGTAAAATTCACATTTCTTTTTTTTTGAAAATCACTTTGTAATAATCCAGAAATTAAAAAAAGTTAAAATTTTTGGATTAAAAAGATATTAGAAAAACTAAAATTTCACTTCCAATACAGATTTTCGTAGATTTTCAAAAAATAACTGCAAAATTTTCGTAAATTTGAAACATCTTTTTTCTCTAAGATTTTATTAAATCGCAAGGTTTCTAAAAATCGTGGAATATTTTGTAAGTTTTTCAGTTTTCCTTTTTGTAAAGGTCTAATTTTTCATGAAAATACTGAAAATTTCCATACATATAGTCTTCTTAAAATTCGACAAATTAAAACAAATTCAACAATTTAAAAAAATCAAATTGTTCACAATTTTCAAAATAACTATTTTTTCGTATTTTTCGAAAATAATTTTGAAACGATTCGGAAATTGAAAAAGAGCTTTATTTTTTTAGGAAGTAAGAGAATACAGGAACCTCAAAATTCGGCTTTCAAAGCAAAATTTCACAAATTTTCAAAAAAATACTACAGGATTTTCGTCAATGTGAGTTATCTTTTTCTATAAAATTTTATAAAATCTCTGGATTCCAAAAATGGTAAAATATTTTTTCAGTTTCTAAGTTTATCTTTTTTGTAAAATTCACATTTCTTTTTTTTTTGAAAATCACTTTGTAACAATCCAGAAATTAAAAAAAAGTTAAAATTTTTGGATTAAAAAGATATTAGAAAAACTAAAATTTCACTTCCAAAACAGATTTTCGCAGATTCTCAAAAAATAATTGCAAAATAATATTCGTAAATTTGACTTCTTTTTCTCTGAAATTATATAAAATCGCAAGGTTCCTAAAAATCGTGGAATATCAAAGTTTTTCAAATTAAAAAAAATCAGCAACATTTTTATTTCACTGATATCTTCCATTAAAATTTTATAAAATCGTACAACAATAAAACGATCAAATTAGATTTCAGTTTCGTTGAATAAATTATTTTTGTATTTTTGGAAAAACGCTGTCGTTTTTTTCAAGTCTTCCTCTTTTAAAATGCCACATTTCTTGAAAATATTTCACTGCTTGTGGATCTCAAAGTTTCTCTGTATATTTTTTTAGAATATTAAAATTTTCGAGAACGTAGTTTTTCTAATTCTAAGTTGTTTTCAATTTCCTGGAATACAATTTTTTCGTATTTTTTGAAAATCGTTTTGAAGTAATCAACATTTTAACAATTTTTGGAAATAAAAATATAGAAGAAATTAGACTTGACTTCCAAAAAACAGTTTCTTGCAGCACTTTCGTAAATTCTTTTACACAAAAATTTTTCAAAATCGCATGATTTCTAAAAATCGTGGAATATTCTGCGAGTCTCTGAGTTTTCTTTTTCGAAAATTCTATACTATTTGAAAATATTACAATTTTCGAGAACTGTAGTCTTCTTAAAATGCGTCAAACTAAAAAAACAATACAAGAATAATAAAAATCTAATTTGTTTTCAGTTTCCTGAAATCCGATTTTTTCACATTTTTTGGAGATCGTTTTGGAGTAATCATCAAATTAAAATAAAATCATTAAACATTTTTGAAAATCAAAATACAGAAAAAATTAGACTTGACCTCCAAAACACACTTTCGTAAATTCTTTTTCCCAGAAATTTATTACAATCGCAAGATTTCTAAAAATCGTGAAATAATCTGAAGTCTCTAAGTTTTCCTTTTTCTAAAATAAATTCTATACTATTTGAAAATATAAAAATTTTCGAGAATTGTAATCGTCTTAAAATACGAAAAAAAAAAATTGGCCGAAAGTTGTTTCGACAGAACTTCCCTAGCAATTTCATTATTGACAACATGTTATTCGAACACTAAAGAGTTTTTTTATACATTTTGATTTCCATAAGTTATTTTCCTCCTCATTTCCTTTTAACCAATTTCTGGACATACGTAACAATCTTTTCACGACAATAAAACGTTTAAACTAGTAAATTTTTGTCGGGAAACATCGATTTTACAATTAAGTTCCGCCCCTTGGTCTGACAACGAATGAAAAGTTCATCACAATTGAGCTTATTTTTTCCTTAACATGTAGGTATACTTTCCTTTCAACACCGTGTTATTTAACAACATGTTTCGTATAATAAGCATTTTGCAATAAACTCCGCCCTTTGGCTCACAACGAATAAAAACGTTACCACAACTGAAATGAGGGCGGATGGGCGGGGCTTATATTTTGCCCCTTTTTCCTTAATATACGTAGTCATCTTTCCACAACAAAAATTTAAGACAAATAACTATGTCTATTAAGGCATAATATAAGCCCCGCCCACCCACCCTGTCTCAGTTGTGACGCTTTTTCTTTGTTCGTCGTTAGCCAAGGGGGGCGGAGCGCAATTACAAAATCCATATTTCCTGCTTCGAACACGTTTTAAGGTTCTTGTTGCGAAAAGAAGAGTACGAATATTAAGAAAAAAGGCAAAATATAAGCCCCGCCCACCCACCCTGTCTCAATCGTGATGACTTTCTTTATTCTTGGTGAGGCAAGAGGGTGGAACTTAAAATCTTTATTTCTCTATAAGAAATTATTTTAAGTAAAAAATTGGTTTAAAGTTATTTTAACAGAATTTCCCTTGCCCCTGAAATACAAAAATTTGTAGAGAAGTGTATGGGGTAAAATTTACCATTTTAAACATGTTTTCAGTTTCTTGTTATGGAGAAAAAACAATATATATTAAGAAGAAAAAAAAATGCAAAACATATGCCCCACCCACCCACCCTGTCTCAGTTGTGACGCTTTTTCTTTGTTCGTCGTTAGCCAAGGGGGGCGGAGCGTAATTACAAAATCCAAGTTTCCTGTTTTGAACACGTTTGAAGTTTCTTGTTGGGAAAAGATGACTACGAATATTAAGAAAAAAGGGCAAAATATAAGCCCCGCCCACCCTCCCTGTCTCAATCGTGATGACTTTCTTTATTCATCGTGAGTCAAGAGGGTGAAGCTTAAAATCCTTATTTCTTTACAAGGAATGATCATGTAAAACAAAACAAAATAATTTTGGGATAATTCATAATTTAGTAAAAAACTTAAAACACTTGGGATTGAGGAAAATACAAAATAAGTAAAATCTGACTTTCAAAGCACGGTTAAAAAATTCTAATTTCTTTACAATTCCTTGGAATACAATTTTTTTGGAAGTAAGGAAAATACAGAAACATAGGAATTTGACTTCCAAAGCAGAGTTACTCAGATTTTCAAAAAAAATATCGTAAACTTGAATTCTGTTTTTCCGTAAAATTTTATAAAATCGCTAAAGAAAATACAGAAATTTTAAAATTTGACTTTCAAAGTAGAATTTCCTAGATTTTCAAAAAAACATTGAATGATTTTCATAAACTTGAGTTGTTTTTTTCTTATTGTTATAAAATCGCTAGATTCGAAACTTGTATAATATTTTTTACGTGTCTTAAGTTTACCTTTTTTGTAAAATTAATTAATTTTTAAGTAAGAAAATACAGTAACCTTAAAGTAGAATTTCCCACATTTTCAAAAAAAAAAACATTGCAAAATTTTCGTAAACTTGAGTTATCTTACTCTTTAAAATTTTATAAAATTGCTGGATTCAAAAAATGATAAAATAATTTTTAAGTTCCCAAGTTTATTTTTTTGGAAAATTCATATTTCTTGTTTTTTGAAAATCACTTTGGAATAATCCATAAATTAAAAAAAAACTTTAAAATTTTTGGAATAAAAGAATGTAGAAAAACTAAAATTTGACTCTCACAGAAAATTTTCGCAGATTCTCAAAAAATAACTGAAAATTTTCGTAAATTTCAGTCAACTTTTTTATCTAATAATTTATAAAGTTTCTAAAAATCATGCATATTTTGTTTTTCTTTTTGTAAAATTTTTATTTACATGAGTTATTTTTTTCTTTAAAATTTTATTAAAATCATTACCTTTTCTAAAATTCATATTTCTCGTTTTTTGAAAATTATTTTGAAATTATGTATAAATTAAAATTTTTGAATTAAAAAGATAATAGAAAAACTAAAATTTGATTTCCAAAGCAGTTTTTCCCAGATTCTAAAAAAATAATTGCACAATTTTTGTAAATTTGAGTCATCTTCTTCTCTAACATTTGAAACAATTCAGAAAATGAAAAAAAAGAACCAATTCAGAAAATGAAAAAAAAACAAATTTTTTTGAAGGTAAGAACATAGACACCTTAAAATTTGACTTTCAAACTAGAATTTCCTCCATTTAAAAAAAAAAACATTCCAAGATTTTCATAAACTTGAGTTATCTCTTTCTTCGAAATTTTATAAATCGCTGAATTCGAAAAATATAGTAAAATATTTTTTAAGTTTCTAAGTTTACCTTTTTTCCATAAATTAAAAAAAAAGTTCAAAATTTTTTCATTAAAAAGATAACAGAAAAACTAAAATTTGACTTCCAAAGTGTTTTCCCCAGATTCTAAAAAAATAACTGCAAAATTTTCGTAAATTTGATAAAATCGCAGTATTTCTTAAAATTGTGCAATATTTTGTAAGTTTTTCAGTTTTCCTTTTTGTATAGATCTAATTTTTCATGCAAATATTGGAAATTTCCGGACGTATAGTCATCTTAAAATTCGACAAACTAAAGTAGATTCAACAATTAAAAAAAATCAAATCGTTCACAGTTTCTTAAATTACCATTTTTCTTGTTTTTCGAAAATAATTTTGAAACAATCCAAACATTGAAAAGAAAATTAAATTGAAATTTTTTGGAAGTAAGAAAGTTCAGAAACCTTAGAATTTGACTTTGAAACTAGAATTTCCCACATTTTCAAAAAAAAAACATTGCAAGATTTTCATAAGCTTGAGTTTTCCTTTTCCCAAAATTTTATAAAATCTCTGGATTCGACAAACGGTAAAATATTTTTTAAGTTCTTCAGTTTACTTTGCAACACTTTTGTTTCACTGATCTTTTCCGTTAAAATTTTATAAAATCGTACAACAATAAAAAGATCAAATTAGATTTCAGTTTCGTTGAATAAATTGTTTTTTCTATTTTTGGAAAATCATCTTAAAATAATATAATCTATAAATTAAAAAAAAAATGTTTGCAATTAAGAAAGATAAAATTCCAAAACAGATTCTCAAAATTTCAAAAAAAGAAATATTTTGTAAATCTTACAGTTTTTTTTTAAAGTTCTTGTTTTTCTTGAAATTATTAAAATTTTCCAAGACTACAACAATAATCTTAAAATTTGCCAAAAAATTTTCGGAATTAAGAAAACCAAAAAAATCTAATTTGATATCCAAAATGCTTTTCCAAAATTTCGTAAGCTTTAATTTTTCTCTGCAAATTTCATAATCACGCAAACCTAAACCTCCGAGAAATCTTAATCACGAAATAATAATAAAATAACAAATTACTAAAGCTTCAATCTGTCACTACATAATTTGTATGCACCTATAGCCAATTTAAACACGACGTGCATTATTATTGACCTTTTGCAACAATAAATAGCAAACCTGAGAAAATTTATGCATCAAGATTAAATATTTACATGCATTTCTCCCATAATGGTGGTGTCCAATAATAAATAAACCCGACGAACGCAGCTCAAAAAATAAAAATAATAGCTATTTACGTCCACCTTTGACTAGATAATCGCTGGCACGTTTTCCACTTAACCGCTGACATTCAGCGAATTTCAAAACGTTTCCCAAATTAGATTAATACTGGAAATTAGAAATTCCGCGCTGATTAATGTTTACACAGATCTGCAATTATCCCTGAAAGTAGGAGCGACACAGCGGTGACGTCAGTCACATTGACATGCAGCGCCACCTCGATTCCCTTTTACGTTTAAATTTTGGCACGTCGTCGCTAATTAATTTCCACTTTAAACCTCAATTTGATGAATCTTACTTTTACCACCATTTCACCGAAAATTTTTACTTTTACTCTTTTAGATAAATTACCATGTCTGCGCTCCTCCTGGTGGGGGTTCTAGTCATAGCATCCACGTCAGCGGATGTCAAACACGTACTAGACGGCTCGGCACACCCCCCCGACCCCAACTCCATCTCCCCCCACGCCGTCAACCACCTCGCCACCCAGTACTGGTGGATGGACGCCGACTCCCCCCTCAAGGCCGCCTACGACTACTACAAGCGATGCGCCGCCAAGAACAACTGCGTGTCGCCGGTGGACCCCGCCGCCCCGCCGCCGCAGCCCTTCGTCCCCACGGTCAACATCAACGTGAAGAAGAACCCCTTCCTCAACGGCGACTTCAACTCCCAGAGCGGCAACGCCGCCTACAACGACAAGCCTAAGATCGATATTAAGAAGAACCCGTTCCTGAACGGGGCGGTGCTGACGGCGGGAGACGGCGCCCCCGTTACCAAGGACGTGGGCGGCTTCCTGGGGGTGCAGCCGGCGCAGCCCTTCGGGAAGAAGCCGGGATTTGCCACGACGCACCCGCTGGAACAGAAGGACAAGAAGCCTGGGTTCGCGACGACGCACCCTCTGGAGCAGAAGGACAAGAAGCCTGGGTTCGCCACGACGCACCCGCTGGAGAAGGGCGCGCTGATTTTCGACAACGTCACGGTGGAGTGCAAGGGCAAAGGGTTCGCTTGTGTGGAGAAGAGCGAGTGTTTGAATGGAGTGGTCAACACGAACGGAGAAGGAATTCTTCAGGTCAGGAGTGACGTAAGTGTTCAATGTAAATAGTTTGGGTAATCGGTTGAAAGATATTTGATTTGCGGGATGTGCTAATGACGCAAGGTTAATGAAAACGGCCGAGGTGAAGAAAGAGGTTTGCTTTGCAATTATGGGGGTTCGGGTTTTTTTAAATATCAGGGACTGTTTGTTGCTATTTTTGGAAGTGATGCGAAAAAATGTATTCTAGAAGAATTTATGGGGAATTGTTGACTGAAGAGGTGGTGGGGAGAGTTCGAAAATGAGTTTTCGTAACAACCCTAAAATTTCTTCTTTAAGTACGGACCTGACTTTCGACTTGAAGAAGTGTTCGCAAACTGAAAAAAACTCGAACCAATTGAGGAACAATTTTGGATAGAATTTTTGTTCAGAAGTTAATTTTTGCCACTTTCTTATATATTTATTTTTTTATGAAATTGACATTTTTTTAAGATCTTTTTTTTCTAAAGATACTAATATTTCTTCTTCGAATTGTTAATTTTCTTCAAAATTGTTAGATTTCTTCTTTAAATTAGGACTTTTATAAAATTTTTATTTTCTTCTTGAAGAACTGTCCGTAAACTGAAAAAAAATGAAAATTGGTGAACGATTTTGGATATAATTTCTTAGAAAGTTGACTCAAAATCTTGAAATCTTTTCCACTTTCTTCTTCATTTTCAGAAGAGATTGATAATATTTTTAAAGATTTTGCTTTTATTTCTCCTAATTCTGATATTTCTTCTCAGAGTTGTTCATTTTCTTCAAAATCGTTAGATTTCTTCTTTAAATTAGGACTTTTATAAAAATTTTGATCTTCTTCTTGAAGAACTGTCCGTAAATTGAAAATAAAATGAAAATTGGTGAACGATTTTGGATATAATTTCTTAGAACGTTGACTCAAAATCTTGAAATCTTTTCCACTTTCTTCTTCATTTTCTGAAGAGATAGACAATATTTTTAAAGATTTTGCTTTTATTTCTCCTGATTCTGATATTTCTTCTCAGAATTGTTTATTATCTTCAAAATCGTTAGATTTCTTCTTGAAATTAGGACTTTTATAAAATTTTGATTTTCTTCTTGAAAAACTGTCCGCAAACTGAAAAAAAAATGAAAATTGGTGAACGATTTTGGATATAATTTCTTAGAATGTTGACTCAAAATCTTGAAATCTTTTCCACTTTCTTCTTCATTTTCAGAAGAGATTGATAATATTTTTAAAGATTTTGCTTTTGTTTCTCCTGATTCTGATATTTCTTCTCAGAATTGTTTATTATCTTCAAAATCGTTAGATTTCTTCTTGAAATTAGGACTTTTATAAAATTTTGATTTTCTTCTTGAAGAACTGTCCGCAAACTGAAAAAAAATGAAAATTGGTGAACGATTTTGGATATAATTCCTTAGAATGTTGATTCAAAATCTTGAAATCTTTTCCACTTTCTTCTTCATTTTCAGAAGAGATTGATAATATTTTTAAAGAATTTGCTTTTATTTCTCCTGATTCTGACATTTCTTCTCAGAATTGTTTATTATCTTCAAAATCGTTAGGTTTCTTCTTCAAATTAGGACTTTTATAAAATTTTGATTTTCTTCTTGAAAAACTGTCCGTAAACTGAAAAAAAAATGAAAATTGGTGAACGATTTTGGATATAATTTCTTAGAATGTTGACTCAAAATCTTGAAATCTTTTCCACTTTCTTCTTCATTTTCAGAAGAGATTGATAAAATTTTTAAAGATTTTGCTTTTATTTCTCCTGATTCTGATATTTCTTCTCAGAATTGTTTATTATCTTCAAAATCGTTTGATTTCTTCTTTAAGTTAGGACTTTTATAAAATTTTGATTTTCTTCTTGAAAAACTGTCCGCAAACTGAAAAAAAAATGAAAATTGGTGAACGATTTTGAATATAATTTCTTAGAATCTTGAGTCAAAATCTTGAAATCTTTTCCACTTTCTTCTTCACTTTCAAAAGAGATTGATAATATTTTTAAAGATTTTGCTTTTATTTCTCCTGATTCTGATATTTCTTCTCAGAATTGTTTATTATCTTCAAAATCGTTAGATTTCTTCTTCAAATTAGGACTTTTATAAAAATTTTGATCTTCTTCCTGAAGAACTGTCCGTAAATTGAAAAAAAAAACTTAAAATTGGCCAACAATTATTATTGATAAAAGTTCTCTAGAATTTTGACTCAAAATCTTGATATCCTTTTGACTTTCTTCTTCATTTTTTGAAGAGATTGACAATGTTTTTAAAGATTTTGCTTCTATTTCTCCTAATTCTGTCATTTCTTCTCAGGATTGTTCATTTTCTTCAAAATCGTTAGATTCCTTCTTTAAAATGGGACTTTTATAAAAATTCTGATCTTCTTCTTGAAGAACTGTCCGTAAATTGAAAAAAAAAAAAAACTTAAAATTGGCCAACAATTATTAATAAAAGTTCTCTAGAATTTTGACTCAAAATCTTGATATCCTTTTGACTTTCTTCTTCATTTTTTGGAGAGATTGACAATGTTTTTAAAGATTTTGCTTTTATTTCTCTTGACTGACATTTTTTTTTTTCAGAATTCTTTAAATTTCTTCTTTAAATTGGACTTTTCTAAAAAATTTTGACTTTCTTATATATTGTCTGAAGAGATTAACAATTTTTTCATGATCTTGCCTTTATTTTGTCAATGTACTTTTGACATTTCTTCTCAGAATTTTTAATTATCTTCACATCTAAATTTTTTTCTTTAAATACGGACTTTTCTGAAAATCTTGATATCTTTTCCCACTTTCTCATTTTTTTAAAACGATTGCCTTTATTTCTTAAGATACTGTCATTTCTTCCCGGAATTTTTCATTTTCGTCGCAATTTTAGATTTCTTTTTCGAACAGGACTTTTCTGAGAATTCTTAGAAAGTATCTTATTTGCCAAAATCGGTCTTATTTTACCAGGTACTAGCCCCGCCCACCCGCCCTCTCTTGTCTTAGAGAGTATGTCATTCGCCAAAATCAGTCTTATCTTAGCATTTGCTAGCCCCGCCCACCCACCCTCTCTTTTGAAGAACTATCTACAAACAGAAAAAACCAATTGGGAAATGATTTTGGATGAAATTGTTTCAAAATCTTTGTATCTTTTCCACTTTCTGATTTATGTTTTGAAGAAATCGACATTTTTGTTAAGATCTTGCTTTTCTTTCGAAGGATATTGGCATTTCTTCTCAGAACGGTTAATTTTCTCCACAATCTTCAGATTTCTTCTTTAAATCGATACATTTCTGAAAATCTTGACCGACTTTCTTCTCAAGTACGAAAAATTCCAACTAATTGACGAACTATTTTGGACAACAATTTTCTTAGAATTTTAATTCAAACTACTAACCAACCAATTTTTTAAACTTTCATAAACAACTTTGCTTTACGGATCTCCAAACATCACTTCTGAATCGTCATTACTCATTAACAAAAAACAAGCCTTTAAAACCACACTCAAAACAAAGCCCGACCCCGACTTTCACACAAAAACCCATCCTCGGGCGCTTTACAAACCAAAACACATGCATGCATCCAGTCACGAATGCCACGAATTTAAAAAATGCCAAGACTCGCTCAAATTTATTCAACAATTTATTAAACTCCTTAATTTCTTTATTTAGCTAATGAAGACTTCACGGTCCCCGGAATGTCCGTCAATTTAATAAATGCGCAATTTTATTTACTGAAAATGAGCACAGAGTAACGAGAAAAGAATTTATGCAAAATTGCTTATCCAACTTTGTATCGTCACGTACTTTGCGGCGAATTCCGACACACAAAAAAATAAATAAAATAAAATAAAAGTAAGAGAGTAATTTTGGCAGTGATTGCTAATCGCGTATTTATAATAATTACTGCAACGCATGAGCGTGGTATTAACTCTTAGTGGCATTTGAATCTAGTTCTTTTAAAAGCTCTAAGTTTAATTACGTCATGTTCACAGAGATTCGCTCGTTTAGCGGACGAAAGTTATTTGCGGTGTGGCAATCTCTTAATTACCATGTACATAACGTTCATCACAGATTGTCGAGAGTTTGTTTTTTTTATCAGCCAGAAATCCGCAAGAGTGCGATTTTGCTAAAATTAATTAACGGTCATAAAAATGTGTCAAAACACGAATTTATTATAGCATAAACAAACTTTTGTTGTAACCTTTCTCCACAATAAGAACTTCACCGGGAGCGCGTTCTCACGAATCAACTAGCACACATTTATATAACTTTTAACTATGGAGGAAAAATAAATCATCTCTGATAAAAAATAGAGAGAATAGAAACCCCAGGCGAGTGCAAAAACCAGAATTCAAATGAGTCATGACATTTACGAACCAATTTTCCAAATTTGACGACATTCCAGTAAGAATCGATTTTGACGAGACGAACCATCCTTGATTTTTATAGCCCCGATGATGCAAGCATTTTCGTGGAAATGTCACGATCAAGCGAAGATGCGTTCTAGAATTCGAGTGTTGTAATTACAAATTCGATTTTTAAGAACGGTCATGAAATAAAGCAAGTGGTATTTCAATTACAAATGTTAATCAGATTTGCGCAACCACTTAGTGAGTGACCACTATAAACCGCGGATTTTCTTCAAAGATCAAAGTGACAAAAACGCGTGTATCACACAATAACATTGTGTAATAAATGCTCGGAATACCGATGACGAAACCCTCCTGAATCAACAGTTCGGGCGCCGCCACTGACCGTCTCCTTGTGACAATCATTTTCGCAAATAATCAAGCCGTGTTACGCAACGCCTTTAAAACGTTTAAATTAATAGAAACGCGGCATTTAAGAATGCGTTTTATTTACCGCACCGGCTACCGATTACGACGGAGGGTCAGAGGTCCCCAATTTCCCTCAAATCGGCGCCTCTTTCTCCGTGACGTAACCTAAAAATCCATTGTCAGGTTGGCTAATTGCATCTGGCTTAATATTTCAAAATGACGGCGCAAAAGAGCCACCTTTTGAACCCCGGAGGTCAAATAAGTGACAACATGCTGAGATGGCCTAATCAATTTTGTAACGGCGTTATCTAATCCTCAAAACGCAGGGACGTATTCTCGAATTTCTCGCCCACGATGACTTGGCGCAATCCGCGCGTTGCGTAAGAGATCTTAGAGATTTCACTCATTGTGGCGTCCAGCCACCCACGAAAGCGAAGCGGCTTGACCCAAAAACGTCCTTGACTTTGTCTACCGGGGAAAGTGCGGAAGTCATCCCCGAGTCGTGACAGAAAGTCTATGTTCGAGAGAAATGTACCAAGTGTGAGATAATCTAGTCATCGTTTCGTTTCCTTAATTTTTCGAGTACTTTTTCAAAAGGGGCGAGGGAAGTTCTATCGAAATAACCTTGGACCAATTTCACTCTAGGTGAGCTACTGCCGCGAGGACACGGAGGTGTGCTGCCAGATGAACAATCTCAACGAAATTACTGCGGGGAAGAGCTCCACGATCAAGTTCGCCGGAGGTTCGGGCTTCAGTCCGGGCCTCATCCACGTGCAGCCGCAGCCCGATATCATCTTCGCCGGAGAGCACGGCCACCACTCGAGCTCCACGTCCAAGTCCATCCGAGATACCTCTCTCAGTCCCAACTCTGTCTTTTCTAGCACTGTAGACTACAGCGACACGCAGTTCGACAGTAACGTGCGCTTCGCGTCCACTTTCCAAGGACCGGGGTACCTGCCTCCGGTGGGTCCGAGCACCCCTGCCCCCAGACCCTTCGAAACTAAGCAGCCTAATATCAACCAACAGTACTTCCCGAGCAGGCCCTCCACTCAGAAATATATTCCGCCTGCTCCCACCACTCCCCGGCCCGCCCCCTCCACGACTTACAGGCCGGCGCCGTCGGCGACGACTCCCGCGTACAGGCCCCCGGCCCCTTCCACTACCTTCAGGCCCGCCCCGCCTGTGACCTTCAGGCCGGCGCCTTCTACTTCTTACAGGCCACCGGTTACGTTTAAACCCGCCCCAACTACCAGCAGGGAGTATTTGCCTCCGAGGCCGTCCACTCCGAGACCGACTACCACGAATAATCAGTATGTACCACCCTATCAGCCGAGTGTCACTCCACAAAAACCATATCAGCCAAGCGTGACACCACAAAAACCATATCAGCCAAGCGTGACACCACAAAAACCATATCAGCCGAGTTTCACCACTCAGAGGCCATATCAGCCAAGTGTCACTCAGAAACCATATCAGCCGAGTTTCACTACACAGAGGCCATATCAACCGAGTGTCACTCAGAAACCATATCAACCGAGTTTCACTACACAGAAGCCATATCAACCGAGTGTCACTCAGAAACCATATCAACCAAGCGTGACACCACAAAAACCATATCAGCCGAGCGTGACGCCACAAAAACCATATCAGCCGAGTTTCACCACTCAGAGGCCATATCAGCCAAGTGTCACTCAGAAACCATATCAGCCGAGTGTGACACCACAAAAGCCATATCAGCCGAGTGTCACTCCACAAAAACCATATCAGCCGGCGATAACTACACAGAGGCCATACCAACCGAGCATTACACCTCAGCAACCGTACAGACCCAGCGTGACTCCTCAGAAACCGTACCAGCCCAGTATAACTCCCCAGAAACCCTACCAGCCGACCACACCTCGTCCGTTCCAACCGTCCTATCAACCATCGTATCAACCATCTTATCAACCTACCACGTCTAGACCCACAACCAGTAGGGAGTACCTTCCTCCGAGACCTTCGGCACCGTTCGTCCCTCAACCGTCCACTCCTAGGCCTAATCCTTTCATAACGCAACCCACGACTCCTAGGCCCACGTACCAGCAACCGCAGACCAAACCCCCGAGTTATAAGTATCCTAGTCCCAGCGGACCGACGACGTACCCTAGGCCAACTCCAGGTCCTTCGTTCACGCAACCTAGACCAACCCCAGGCCCTTCGTACTCGCAACCAACCTTCACGCAACCTAGACCAACCCCAGGCCCTTCGTACTCGCAACCAACCTTCACACAACCTAGACCAACCCCAGGCCCTTCGTACTCCCAGCCGACATTTACACAACCTAGACCAACACCAGGTCCTTCGTTCACGCAGCCTCGACCAACACCAGGTCCTTCGTATTCTCAACCAACTTTCACTCAGCCTAGACCAACTCCAGGACCTTCATACTCTCAACCAACTTTCACACAACCTAGACCAACTCCAGGTCCTTCGTACTCTCAACCGACGTTCACGCAGCCTAGACCAACTCCAGGTCCTTCGTTCACGCAGCCTCGACCAACCCCAGGCCCGTCGTACTCTCAACCAAGTTTCACACAACCTAGACCAACTCCAGGTCCTTCGTACTCTCAACCGACGTTCACGCAGCCTAGACCAACTCCAGGTCCTTCGTTCACGCAGCCTAGACCAACTCCAGGTCCCTCGTACTCTCAACCAACCTTCACGCAACCTAGACCAACCCCAGGTCCTTCGTTCTCTCAGCCGACCTTCACACAACCTAAGCCTACTCCAGGTTATCAGTACCCGACGCCGCGCCCTCAGACCAGGCCCACGCCGCCTCCGTTCAGACCGACGCCTTCCATTCCCAAGTTCCCGAGCTCTCCACAATTCCCAAGCCAGACGTCCCCGCAGCCTAGACCCACACCGCCGCCAGGAAACACCGGCTACCAATATCCCACGCCTAGTATCCCGTTCCCCAGTCCGAGCCCCCAGCCTAGGCCGACTCCACGTCCGCAGTATCCGAGCCCGAGCCCGCCGCAACCTAGACCCCCAGCTCCTAAGTACCCCAGTCCGAGCCCTCCACAACCTAGACCTCCAGCGCCACAATTCCCAAGCCCGAGTCCCCCGCAACCCAGACCTCCAGTTCCACAGTTCCCGAGCCCGAGCCCCCCGCAACCTAGACCTCCAGTTCCACAATACCCAAGCCCCAGCCCTCCACAACCTCGACCCCCAGTTCCACAGTTCCCGAGCCCTCCACAACCTAGACCTCCAGTTCCACAATATCCAAGCCCTAGCCCTCCACAACCTAGACCACAATTCCCGAGTCCCTCACAACCTAGACCACAATTCCCCAGCCCCAGCCCTCCACAACCTAGACCGCAATTCCCTAGCCCCAGCCCTCCACAACCTAGACCGCAATTCCCTAGCCCCAGCCCGCCACAACCTAGACCGCAATTCCCCAGCCCCAGCCCTCCACAACCTAGACCGCAATTCCCTAGCCCCAGCCCGCCACAACCTAGACCGCAATTCCCCAGTCCCAGCCAGCCACAACCTAGACCGCAATTCCCCAGCCCGACTTCCCCACCTAGGCCCACGCCGCCTCCAGGAAACACCGGATACCAGTACCCCACTCCCAGTATCCCGTTCCCCAGTCCGAGCCCCAGCTCCCCACGCCCCAATCCGTTCATTCCGCAGTCGACGCCATCTCCGCCCAGCTTCATTCAACCATCTACGCCTTCCAGACCATACCAACCCAGTACGCCGAAACCGTACCAACCCAGTACGCCAGCCCCTAGACCGTACCAACCCAGCACGCCGGCTCCAAGACCGTACCAACCCAGTACACCGGCTCCAAGACCGTACCAACCCAGCACGCCGGCTCCAAGACCGTACCAACCCAGTACGCCGGCCCCCAGACCGTACCAACCCAGTACGCCGGCCCCCAGACCGTACCAACCCAGCACGCCGAAACCGTACCAGCCGCAGCCTACGCCAGCCCCTAACCCAGCCGGCGGCTACGACTACCCCAAGCCCACCCCGTCGTTCGGGTACCCGTCGACCTCGCGCCCCGTCTTCGGAAACAGCAACGTCAACAACCAGTACATCCCGCCCCCGAAGAAGCCCGGAGATAACCCCGACCAGAGCTACGAAGCCGCTAACGTAGACGGCGCTTTCGTGCGCCCCACGACACCGAGGACGTCGTTCCAGGGCGAGCTCAACACAGCACCGCCCCCGGGTTGCGCCGCCGCCCTGAAGTGCGTCCAAGAGATCTACTGTACGGCGGAAGGAGTGATTTCCCCAGTTCCTGTAGTGTTGACCAAAGAGCAAGAGTTGAGTAGAGTACCGACGACGGTGTGCCAGGACACAGAATCGGGGATCATCGGCAAGTGTTGTCGCGACCCCAACTACAAGGACCCCTGGCCGTCAGCGAACCTGGTGGACGGCGTCGACGACGGACAGTACAAGGAGGACAATAACTTTGGACAGTACTCGCCGGATCTGCAGCGGCCGGTGCGGTCGGACAAAGGGGGGCCACGACAAGATTTTTCGAGTACGAGGAACACGAACGTGGAGGTGCAACCCACGTGTGGGGAGCGTCACAAGAACACCAATCCTCCAGGTCCTGGACCTTTGGACGTCAACTTCGCGGAGATCCCGTGGCAAGCGATGATTTTGAGGGACTCGAATAGGAGTTTGTTGTGCGGGGGGGCTATCATTAGGAGGGACGCAGTCCTCACGGCGGCTCACTGCATAGAAGGGTACTTCCACCACAATAATAATAATTAATCCAATAATAAACAATTTGTCTCCAGGATAGAAACCAGCGATATTTTGATCAAAGGAGGAGAATGGAAGCTGGGGATCGACGAAGAACCTTTACCCTTCCAGATCGTGAAGGTGTCGGTAGTGGTACGACACCCGCAGTACCAAAAGGGATCCTTCGTCAACGACTTGGCTCTCCTCATCCTGGAGGAGAAGCTGCGGCCTGCCAAGAACATCGGGACGGTGTGTTTGCCGCCTCCGAACCAGATACCCACCAAGAACTGTATAGCAACCGGCTGGGGCAAGAGAATCCTCCAACGTGAGTACTCCGAGTCATAAATTCGGCGTCACTTTACCGATTTAAGTTGCAGTTCACGCAAAGGGGGCTATTATGCATTCGATAGACGTTAAGATCATGGACAACCAGCAATGTCAAGAGACTCTAGCCAATACATTCCAACACGCGTCGAGCAACTACAGTCCGAACACGCTCTGTGGCTACTCGGATATCGACCAATGCAGGGTTTGTATTATATTGGTAGTACTCGACACGGTTTGACTGTTCGTTGTAGGTTGACTACGGAAGCGCTCTAGCTTGTTCCGACGGGAATCAGTACACACTTTCTGGTATCTACGCCTGGGACACGGGATGTAAGCAGAAGGGACAGATCGGTGGTTATGTGGCTCCCGACGTCGATTGGATAGAAAGCACGCTGGCTAAGCCAGTCCGAGAACTCAAGCTAATCGAACAAAACTAAAATAGATGTCTTTTGTAAATATTGTTAAAAATCAGGGACAACGAAATTTTTAGGAACGGTTAAGTATTTAAAACTGCCATATGAAGTGGATCGTGTAATTTAATTTTTAAATGTACTTTACTTTTGTATTTAATTAGTGCTGGAATACTCAGTGTACTGTATAGCTGTAGCTATTTATAACGATGTGGTATAAATAAAAAACTTTTAATATTATCGGGTTTGTTGTTTCTTTTCAAGTTTTTTGAGTCATAACCATCATAGAATCGCTTGAAAATTCGCACATGGATAAAACATCACTTTTTACAGGCCACAGAGTCATTACATGTTTGTTAGTGGTACAATCTATTGTTAAGGAAATTAACTTTTACGCAATGAGGTATGTACTATCATAAAAACGAATTAAAACTGGGGAACTATAATATTTTTACTCCACTCAGGATCCTGAATTCAATACACATGATTACTAAAAATTCATTGTAGTATTATTGTTAATATATATTTTGCTTTGTTAACTAATAATAATAATAAACATATTTATAACAATAATAAAAAATATATAAAATATAGCTTTTGTTTAACACGTATAAGTAGCTAAGTGTATCTACTACTTATCCCAGAAAGGAGGTGTTTTAAAAAAGCCCTACGCCCAGTAACTTCTCCCTTCATTGTTTACTCGAAAAAAGTGCTCGTATATGTTTTCATTTGCCGAGAGATCATTTTCAAAATATGTTTATAATAAAAATATACAAGTCTTGGTGATGAAAAATGTACTCCTAATAAATTATTAAAGTACATAAAAAAATAGAAACAAATTTTATTGATTTAAAAAAAATCTCTGGCAAAGGCAGGTTCCTCTTTCTTCTTAAATCAATTATTTCGGGCAATAATGCGCCAAAGTAAAATCTGCCAGTTTATCTGCCATCTTTTTACATATTTCTTCGGAGAGACAGAGACTCCACAGTTTTAGCTGTTGCTGTAGTTGATCTAAGTTTGTAAATACGTCCAAAATTTGAAGCCGTAACCCTAATTTTTCCTTCTTTTGCCCAAATGTGTCTGTTGTCTAGTGTCTATTTCAATTTGGTCTAAATTCAAAGATAATTTTCTCAAAAAAACCTCTTTGGCTGTCACAAATCTTTCTACATCCATGTCAGGATTATCTATAAAATATTTAAACCATAATCGCAATCGGGACCAGCATACGTACAATTTTTTACGACATATTTTTTTTACGAATACTTTGTCTAAGATGAGCTTATTTCATAGACGAACAATATTTTTTTGTTAATAAACCAGGACCGTTTTAATCACAATATTTACTTATCCCCTCTAAAAAATTGATGACGTCACCTCAAAATTTTGCTGAATAAATCCTATCTAAATTGTATAAAATATTATGAGTTTCTTCTTGTGATTTATCATTCCATTCATGTTTTTTAGATTTGCATGTACAGGATGACCCCAAAAATTAATTAATGTGAAAACTTATTTAATTGACTTAATCAGGAACTACAAAACCGAATGCTTTGAAATCTAATGTGAAAAAAAAAGCATAATAGGCATGCAGTCGTCACGTTTCCGATAGCGAGGGAAGTACTGTCTAAACTCTTTAGACCATTTTTTTTATTTTCCCATTTCTCCATTTCTCAATTTTTCAATGTTTTAGTTTGGGATTTTTTCATTGTTTCGATTATTTAATTTTCCTTCCATTTCTAGGTTTTTCAATATTTCAGCGTGGAAAGCGTAACATGTTTATGATATATTTTCAAAATATTCGGTTAAAGGTTAAAATAAAAAAAATGCTATTTTCTATATGTATTGGTCATTCTGGAAAGATGGTAGTAATTTTCGAAGAAATGTAGCTGAAAATAAAGCCTAGAGATCGAAATCTACAAAAAATGACTTTCGGTAATTTTCGAAATTGGTCAAAGAAAAGTCAACATTTTGAGCTTTCGGAAAAAATGACTAATAATCCACAAAAAATTCTGCTATATGTATATAGATCTTGACGAACTAATTCAAAAAATGTGAGATGTTTATATTGCCGAATCAAAATTTTAAAAACATTCGATTTAATAGATTTTTTTTCAAAATCCTAAAAATTATAATGTTTCACATTGGCGATTCTGGAAAAATGACAGGAATTTTGAATAATATAAAGTCTGGAGATGAAATCTACAAAAAATTTCTTTCGGTAATTTTTGAACTTGCTCAAAAAAGATTAAAAATTTCATGAATTCTTTGAAAATTGACACAATTAAAATTGTATAGATTTTGACGGCCTGATTCGAAGAGTATAACATGTTTATCATCCAGGATCAAGATTTTCAAAATATTCGATTTACGTTTTTTTTTAATTTCTAAAAATGTTCCATGTTGGCGATTCTGGAAAAATGGTGAGCAGTTTCAAAGAAATGTAGCCGAAAATAATATCTACAAATCGAAATCTACAAAAAAATCTCTTTCGACAATTTTTTAAATTGCTCAAGATAAACTCAAAATGTTGAGCTTTTGGAAAAGCTGACCTGACTATTTTTGGAAAATTCTGACCTGACTTGTTTTTGAGTTAATTTTGAGGTTCTAGGTATTCATTCCTGTTTGGAAGGAATTTGAAACTGCTTTGGAGCCTCGAGTGTATTTTCGTATAATAATTTAATGAAATTTCTTAGAGGATACGTCATTTGATAAATTCTGTCTTATCTTAACAGGTACTAGTCCCGCCCACCCACCCTCTCTTTTCTTAGAGGAAATGTCATTTGCCAAAATCAGTCTTATCCTAGCAGGTACTAGCCCCGCCCACCCACCCTCTCTTTTCTTAAAGGGTATCTCATTTGCCAAAATCACTCTTATCTTAGAAGGAAGTAGCCCCGCCCACCCGCCCTCTCTTTTCTTAGAGGAAATGTCATTTGCCAAAATCAGTCTTATCCTAGCAAGTACTAGCCCCGCCCACCCACCCTCTTTTTTGTTAGAGGAAATGTCATTTGCCAAAATCAGTCTTATTCTAGCTAGTACCTGCTAAGATAAAACTGATTTTGGCAAATGACATTTCCTCCAAGAAAAGAGAGGGTGGGTGGGCGGGCAGTAGCTTCTAAGATAAAACTGATTTTGGCTAATGAGATAACTTCTAAGAAAAGAGAGGATGGGTGGGTGGGGCTAGTAGCTGCTAAAATCAGTTTGTTATGTTTATAGCCCTAAAAAAAAATAAAAGATGACTATCGTCACTGAGAAATCAGAAAGTAAGCCGGAGGTATTCACGCATTAGTGCGTGCAGTGTTGCCAATTTTCGTTTCTTCAATTTTTCAAACTTTTGATATTGTGTTTTCTCGGTTTTTAAATTTTTCGATATTTTAATTTTTCACTTTTTAAAGTTTTAGGTTTTTAGATTTCTCACTATCTCGACTTTTCGATTTTTCAGTTCCATGATTTTTCAGTTTGTCGAATTTTTAAATTTTAGATTTTTTGTTTTCTTTGATGTTTTGAGTTCTCGATCATTCGATTTTCTGAGTTTTCAGGCTTAGATTTTTTTGTTGTTCAATTCTTGGATTTTTAAAATGTTTGTTTTTTAAATTTTCCTATTAATCAATTTACTGGGATTTCAATGTTTTGATTTTTTGATTGTTCAATTTCTCGATTTTTTGAATTTTTAGTTTTGATACGATTTTTTTTTTTCAAAAATTTTCAGTTTTTCAATTTATTAACTTTACGATACTTCAGTTTTGCTAGATTTCGACTTCTCAATTTTTCGATATATTACTGTTGGGATTTTTCAATTTATCGATTCTTGGATTTCTCGATTCTTCATATTTTCGGTTTCTCGAATTTCTTCATTTTTCGATTTCTCAATTTTCCGATGTTTCAGTTTTACGATTTTTGATTTTTTTTATTTTTCAGTTTTCAATTTTTGACGTTACTAAATTTTTCGATTTCTCAATTTTTCGATTAACTGATTTTTTGATTTTCCGATTTCTCTATTTCTCGATTTTTTAATTCTTTCTTCAATTGTGATTTTTCAATTTTTCGATTTCTGAATTTTTCAATGTTTCAGTTTTGGATTTTTTCACTTTTCCGATTCTTCAATTTTCTTTCCATTTTTCAGTTTTTCAAGATTTCAGTTTTGAATTTTTTCACTTTTTCGATTTTTCAATTTTCCTTCCATTTTTCAGTTTTTCAGTATTTCAGTTCTGGGATTTTGCAATGTTTCGGTTCTTCAATTTTTCCATTTTTTGATGTTTCGATTTCTCGGTTTTTCAATTTTTCGATAATTATTTTAATTTTTCAATTTTTAAGTTCTAGATTTTCCGTTAATTTTTTTGTTTTCCTTGATGTTTTGATTTGTCTATTATTCGATTTTTCAAATTCTCGGTTTAGATTTTTTGGTTTTCCAATTCTTCGATTTTTAAATTGTTTAATTTTTAAATTGTTCAATTTCTCGATTTTTAGATTTTTCAATTTTTCGGTTTACCGATTTTTTTCATTTAAAATGTTTCAATTTTTCAATTATTAACTTTTCGATTTTTCAATTTTCGCCTAATTTGATTTCTTAATTTTTTGATTTTTTGACTCTATTGTTGATGTTTTGATTTCTCGATGTTTCAGTTTTTGAACATTCCGATGGTTCGATTTTTCGACTTTTTGGCTTTTCGAGTGTTCAATTTTTTGATTTTTGATTTTCAGATTTTTGTCTTTTTGATTTTTTTGGTGTTTCGATTTTCCAATTCTTCAATTTTTCGATATTTTAATTTTTCAATTTTTCGAATTTTTAAATTTTTGATTTTTCGTTTTTTTTATTTCTCAATTTTTGGATTTTTAAATTTTACATTTTTCGATTTTACTATTTTTTGATGCTTGGATTTCTCAATTTTTCACGTTTTCAATGCTCAATTTTTCAGGATTTGAATATTGAGAACTTTTCAATTTTCAGATATTTTGATTTTTTGATTTTTTAATGTTTCGATTTTTGGGTGTTTTGATTTTTCAATTTTTAAAGTTTCTGATTTTTCGATTTTTCCGATTTGTTGTTTATTTTAAGTATATTTCATTTTTCAATTTGCGCCTTCTGCGGGAGTATTATTTGTTGTGCTGCACTTGACGGGCGAGGGAAGTTCTGTCGAAACAACCTTCGACCAATTTTTATACTTAGCACGTAGGTTTACAATTTACCGATTGCTGTCACCTGGTTCTTTTTTCACTGGCAAGTTGGTACTACAAAAAATTTCAAATTTGAAGTGATCTTCCTAACCTCAATTTTTATGACAGCACATTTTGCCACTAAAAATCTTGCTAGATAATAGTAAATGCTACACATGTCATTTTTATCTTTATTTATTATTATCCAGATGGCGGTTAATTAAATGGCGCTTTAAATTACCATTGGATTTCGCCTTATATGGACAAAAATCGCACTGATACAATTTCACATTGAGATGGGTTTTTACATGTCTTTTTATATTAGTTTTCCTGTTAGTTTTATACAAACAGTTGGCACATTCGTAGCACTCGGGTTTCTGTGTATGATTAATATTCACGTGGTCTTTTAAATACGAATTATATTTAGTTGTGTAGGGACACTCCTTGCATTCGTACCACCTAATTCCTGGACAATCCACATGTTTTTTAAAAACCGATAAAACTTTAGTTTTAAATGGGCAATTCCCACACTCGTACCACCTACTATTTTCTTCGTCTAAGTGTTTGGCTTTGTGCAGCTTCAACGAGTCTTTGTACTTGGTTTTGAATGGGCATTGATCGCATTCGTACCATTTAGAGTCTTCATCGTTCAAGTGTAAATACTTTACGTGGGCGGTTAAACTACCTTTTAATCTGGATTTAAATGGGCAATGGTCGCACTTGTACCACTGACCTTCTTGTTCATCTAAATGGGTCTGTCGAATATGATTTCCTAAATTCCTTACGTACCTACTTTTATATTCACACTGATCACATTTGTACCACTTAACATCTTCCTCCCTCAAGTGTATCGCATAAATGTGTTTCTTCAAAGTGTTTTTTATCCGGGTTTTAAACTGGCATTCGTCACACTCGTACCATTCCGCGTCTCCTTCATCTAAATGTATACAATTTACGTGCACTTTCAGCACGTGTTTATATTTAGTTTGAAATTGACACTGGTCACATGTGTTCCATTTAACATCCCGAGCTTCCAAGTGGCGGTTGTTCGTATGATTTTTCACATAGTAGCTGTATTTCGCCATGTATGGACAATATTTACACTGATATAATCCGGTGTCCGAATTCATTTTTATCCCCTTCGCACTTTCGTACCAATTCGACTTCTCCGAATGCCTAAACTTCATGTGCGTCTTCAACGTCGAGCTAAATTTAGTCCTGAACGGGCACTGTTCGCATTCGTACCACTTAACGTTGTCTTCACCCACATGCCGATACGTCATGTGACTTATCAAACTCGACAGTCGTTCGGTTTTGAACGGGCAATTGACGCATTCGTGCCACTTCACTTTGTCGCTGTTCAAATGTCGACGTTTTATGTGTCTTTTTAAATTCCAGCCTTGTTTAGTTCTGAATTGACACTTGTCACATTCGTACCACTTTATTTTGTCCTCGGTTGAATGTCGTCTGATTATGTGCACCTTCAACGACCTTTTGTACTTAGTTTTGAACGGACACTCATCGCATTGGTGCCACTTAACGTCTTCGTCGCTCAAGTGTAAATTATATACGTGTTTTTTCAGCCAGTTTTTCGTTTTGGTTTTGTAAGGACAGTTGTCACACTTGTACCATTTTTTCTTCTCTGTACAAACTAAAGAGTGCTGAAGCCACGTTAACAAGAAGTTTGTGTCGAAGTCGCACTTGTCGCAAACGTAATTTCGTATCATGAAGTCCTCACTCAATTCGCTTTTAAAGCCGTGACTTTTATTAAGGTGTTGTTTGAACTCGAGCGTTAGGTCGGTTTTAAAATCGCAGTCTTTACAGTGATACAGTTCGGTTTTGGCGTTGTCGCAAGTGAATTTTTCCAAAGGGAAACGGTGGCGTCTCAAGTGGTTCGCCATAAAGAAGAACGAAGTTGTAAAATAGGGACACTGTTGGCAGTTGTGGACGTTTTTTGGTGGTGATTTTCTGCAAGTTTCCTCAGCTTCGGAGTACTCCAAAGTTGACATTATGCCTGAAATCGTGTTATTACTCCGGAGAAGCAAATTCAGCTTTCGTTACCTAAATCGAGTTGAAATGCTTGCAAAACTAACCTAACAGTCTTACGTCAAACTTGACGTTTTAATTATTTTGACAGTGAAAAATCGGTTTGCAAGCCTGCCGCAAACATAACAATATGCAAAGTCACCACATCCAAACCGCAAGAATTTGAGTTTGAGGACATGAACTTCAAAAGTTGACAACAAGATTTTGTTGTCTGCACATATTAAGAAAAAAGGGGCAAAATGTAGCCCCGCCCACCCACCCTGTCTCGATTGTAATGACTTTTTTATATTCGTCGTGAGCCAAGAGGGCGGAGCTTAACTGCAAAATTCTTATTTTTCTACGAGAAATATATTTGCCTTTTTTTCTTAATGTACATAGTATTCTTTGAAAAACGCGATACTCAAACACATGTTTTTAATTTCTTGTTAAGAAATAAGTATTTTGCAGTTAAGCTCCGCCCTCTTGGTTCACGACGAATAAAAAAAATCATCACAATTGAGACAGGGTGGGTGGGCGGGGCTTATATTTTGCCTTTGTTTTCTTAATATACGTAGCCATCTTTTCATAACATGAATTTTAAAATATGTTTAAAATGGAAAATTATTATAGTCGCAAAATCCATATTTCTTTGCAAAAATGTACCATTTTAAGCAGAAGACTGTTTTCTTATACCATGGCTAATTCATTAATTAGATGATTTATTAAAAAGTTTTCCAAAAATTTTGATCACGCATTAATAAGAAGCAAAAAGAAAATAATCCTCGTCATGAGAATCTAAGATCTTCAGTTTTGCATCATTTTATTACCATAATAACTGTCGTAAAGTTGGTACAGAGAGATTTGTTGCCGATGTGGCAACCACGGCGAAGTTACTAAACGACAATACGGCCGAAGATTCTAATAAGATAATAAAGTTGTCATTAAATAACAGTTTTAAGGGTGATCATGAGAATGAAGAGAGGGTGGGCGGGCGGGGCTATTGCTTGCTTATAAAAGACTCTGTAAGGAAAAATTTAACTTAGCCCCACCCACCCACCCGTTCCCACTTCCTTTTTCTTCTGAAATAAGAAATAAATCTTATAGCAAATAATACAACGGAAAAAAAGTTACGATTTGAGGTTTTTTTACATTTTTACAGCCTAGATTCTATTAGTTCCCAACCTATTCCCACTCTCCAGAGGAATTAATAAGTAACCCCGCCCACCCACCCGCCTCCATTTCAGTGATTAAATTTATCTGCTCCGAATGAAAGGTGTAACTCATACTGAAGAGGAACAAAATTTGTCGTTGGAATGAGAAGAGGGCGGGTGGGTGGGGCTAATACTTGCTAAGATATGATTGTTTTCAGTAAATGATATGTCCTCTAATAAAAAAATAATTGGTGGGCAGGGCTATTTGTTTATAAGACTCCGTTGAAAAGCTAATATTTTAGCCCCGCCCACCCACCCGTTCTCTCATTTGTTTCTTCTGAAGTACGAAATAATTCTTATAGCAAATAGTACAACAAAAAAGTTACTATTTGAGCTTTTTTTTCTTTTTTACAACCTAGATTCTATTAGTTCCCATCCCATTCCCACTCTCCAGAGGAACAAATAATTAACCCCGCCCACCCACCCCACCTCCATTTCAGTGAACAATTTTATAACTGCATTTTATTGTTCTACAAAATTGTAAAAAGTTTTTAAAGTTTTTATTAATGAATATACAACAATAAAATAAAATTACGACAAAAAAAACGGCAACAACGAAAATTAATTTCCTACGAGGAGATAAAATTGCAAAAGAATTTTTATTATATACAATATAATTTTGTTGATCACAATGGAGTTTCTCCAGTGTGGTTTTTATCGAAAATTTCATTTGGTTGCCTATTTAACACCCGTTGCATCCAAATGCAGCTTATTCATATGCCGCTTGAAAGTGTCATTGCGTTTCGTCTTATACGGACACCATCCGCAACGATACAATTTAACATCCAAATGGACCTTTACGTGCACCTTTAAATCATGTTTTCGTTTACTTTTATACGAACAGTCTATACACTCATACCACACCGGTTTTTTTGAATGAATGCGAATCACGTGCATCTTCAAATTCTTCGGAAGCTTAGTTTTGAACGGGCAATTGTCACATTCGTACCACTTAATTTTTTCTTCGTCGACATGTTTCAACATCACGTGCCTGCTTAAACTTCTCTTATTCCTGGTTTTGAACGAACACTCCTGGCACCGGTGCCAATTGACCTCTCGTTCATCCAGATGCCGAAAAATCACGTGATTCTTCAAAGTCGACGCCCGTTTAGTTTTGAACGGACACTGTTTGCAGTCGTACCACTTAGCGTCTTCTGCGTTCAAGTGGAAGCTGTTTACGTGGCTTCTTAAACTGTTTTTGAATTTAGTTTTAAATCGACATTGTTCACAGTTGTGCCATTCGGCGTCCTGTTCGTCCAAGTGGGTACAATTTATGTGGATTTGTAAGCCTGCTTTGCGTGCACTTTTAAATGGACACTTGTCGCACTCAAATGGTTGATTCGTCACACTTTGGAGATTTTGGTTCTTTCTTGTGCATTCGGAAGTGTGCCGAAGCCACTTTAGTGAGAAATTTGTTCGAAAGTCGCAATTTTCGCAAACGTAATTTTGTATACTGAAGTCCCCACCCAATGGGGCATCGGTAGATTCTTTCTTAGGGCCGTGATATTCAAAAAAGTGTTGTTTGAACACAACCATTAATTCCGTTTGAAAACAGCAGTCTCTACAGTAATAAACTTCAATTTTGGAAGTCGAACAGGTAAATTTTTCCGGAAATCGGTGTCGCCTCACGTGGTTCATCATAAGTAAAAGCGACGTTGTAAAATATGGGCATTGTTTGCAGTTGTGGACGTTTTTCCATGAGGATGTTTCACGGGTTATGGAAGCTTGCGAAAATTCCAAAGTTGACATTTGGGCCACTTAAAACGGTTATATCACACTAGGAGAAAAAGTGACACTTTGCTTACCCTAACCCGTTGGGGCAACCAGATAAAACTCAAAACAATTAAGATTTATTAGAAATTTTTGTACATAACCTCAAATTCGTAACCACCAATTACACAACAGTATCATAGATTAATATAGATGCGACATACAGTCTGATTTTGCAAAACCAACCTTATTGACATTGGAATCCTCAACCGTCAAAGGCAAGCGCCAAATTTAAATAATCGATGCCAATAAAAAAACTTGTCTCATTACAACTTGTCGCCTGAGAACTTGTTTGATCTTCAGACCAGGGCGCGCTCAGGCCAATGTCGACTCTAAGCGTTCAGAAGCGATTTGGTTGGTTGGGACTATAATTTCTGAGGGAAATAGTTGTTTGGTCGGTTTTTATAACGACTAGGTGAATATTTTTGGTACATATTTAGATGATTTTACATATTTTATTTAACTAAGAATTAATTCTTTATTTGTGTTTTATACTAGCAAAACGTCTTAAACTTAGAATATTGTTGAAATTGTAATAACCCAATGGATTTTTTCGGGAAAATGTTTTGGAAACACTGTGTTGTATTTTGTATGAATTTTTAAATGTTTTTAGTGATCATTTTTGTGGTTGTTTTCGATACACTGTATGATATTGACAAATGAAAAATTAAAATAATCGAAACCTTAAAAAATCGTAAAACCGAAACATTGAAAAATCTAAATATCGAAGAACTGAAAATCGAAAAATGAAACATCAGAAAATCGAAAAAATGTAAAATTAAAAAATCTAAAATTTAAAAATCGAATAACGAAAAATTGAGAAATCGAAACTCCCAAATTTAAAAAGTCGGATAACTGAAAAATCGAAACATCGAAAAACTGGAAAATCGAAAAACCGAGAAATCGAAAAATCAAAAGATCAAGAAATCATGGAGTCGAAAAGTCGAAGAACCGAGAAACCGAAATAGGCCAAAATCGAAAAATCGAAAAGTTAAAAATTGAACGATTTATAAATTGACAATAAAAATATCGGAAAATCCAAATGTCGATAAATCGAGAAATCAAAAAACTTAAAATTCGAAAAATTGAAAAATTGAGAGATTGAATGATCAAAAGAACGAGAAATCGAAAAGTGATGAAGTCGAAAAATTGAAAAATAGAGAAATCGACAAACAAAAAGTTAAAAGTTGAAAAATTGGAAAAGCGGAAAAATAAAAAAAAAGAAAAAATGGAAAACTGGAAAAAATGAGAAACCGAAATAGGCCAAAATAAAAAATTGAAAAACTGATAAATCGAAAACTTGAACAATTAAATCTCGATAAATCGGGAATGAAAAATTAACAAATCGAAAAATTGAAAAACAGAACATCTAAAACCAGGAAGTCGAAAAATCGAAAAACTAAGAAATACTACTAAAATATCAAAAGATTGAACAATCTAAAATTTAAAAATCCAAAAATCGAAAAAGTAAAACACATCGAAATATCCAGAAGTCAAAAATAGAAAAACCTAAGAATAGAAATATTGATAAATCCTAAAACTGAAATATCTAAAAACTGAAAAATCGAAAAATCAAAAAAGTGAAGTCGAAAAATAGAAACTTTAAAAAATCGAAAAATTGAAAAATCAAAAACCTGAAAAATCAAAACATTAAAGAATTGAAGAACAGAAAAATCGAAACACTCGAAGGTCAAGAAATGGGAAAATCAAAAATCGATTAATTGAAAAATCTAAAAATTGAGAGTTTATAAAAGTCAAATTTAAAAAATTAAAAATCGAAAATTTGACAAAATGACATGTGAAAAACAGAAAATCTAAAACCGCGAATTTGAAAAATCAAAAGATCAAGAAATCGAAATATTCGAAAAATTCGAAAACTTGAAAAATTGAAATATCGGAGAACTGAAATGAAAAATCGAGAATTCGAAAAATCTAAAACTTTAAAAATTAAAAAGCTAAAACTTAAAAATCGAAAAATTGAAAAATCGACACATCGAAAAATCCAGGAGTCAAAAATCGAAAAGTCGAAGAATCAAAATATTGAAAAATCCCAAAACTGAGATATCGACAAACTGAAAAATGAAAGAAAAACTGAAAAATGGTAAAAACCTGAAAAATCCGAAAACTGAAATATCCAAAAACTGAGAACCTAAAAAGTCAAAAAATTGAGCAATCGAAAAATCCGAAAAATCGAAACCTTAAAAAAACTAAAAAATGAAAAATCAAAAACCTGAAAAATCGAAAAATTAAAGAATTGAACAGGAATATCGAAACCCTCGAAAGTCAAGAAATGGGAAAATCAAAACAACGATTAATTGAAAAATCGAAAAATTACCAGTTTATAAATGTCAAATTTGAAAAATTGAAAATTTGAAAAAACGACAATTGAAAAACAGAAAATCTAAAACCGGAAAGTCGAAAAATCGAAAGATTAAGAAATCGAAACATTTGAAAAATTGAAATATGGAAGAGCTACAATGAAAAATCAAAATCTAAAATTTTAAATATTGAAAAATTAAAATACAAAAAAATTGAGAAATCTAAAATTTAAAAATCGAAAAAGTAAAAAGTCGACACATCGAAAAATCCAGAAGTCAAAAATGGAAAAGTCGAAGAACAGAAATATTGAAAAATCCCAAAACTGAAATATCGAAAAACTGAAAAATGAAAGAAAAGCTGACGAATCGAAAAATTGAAAAATCAAAAATCTGCAAAATCGTAAGATCGAAAAATTGAATAATAAGTAAAATGAAAAATCCTAAAACTGAAAAGTCGAAAAACTGAGAAATTAAAAAATTGAAAAATTGAGAAATCGAAAAATCAAAAAAGTGAAGTTGAAAAATCGAAACCTGAAAAAATAGAAAAATTGAAAAACCAAAAAACTTGAAAAATCAATTAATTGAAAAATCGACAAATAAAGAGTTTATAAAAGTCAAAAATTGAAAAATCGAAATATTTGAAAATCGTAAAATTGAAGAGAAAAACTGAAAACCGAGAAATTGAAAAATTCAGAAATTAAAAATCAAATATTAAATAGGAGTAAACTGAAAAGTCCCCAAACTAAAATTTCGAAAAACTGAGAATTCGAAAGTTGAAACAGCAAGAAATTATGGTCGAAGCCGGTTAGGATGTGTATCGGGTCACGGATCGTGGCTTATAAATCAAATCGTTTCCGAACGCTTATTAGAGTCGACATTGGCCTGAGTGCGCTTTGGTCTGTAGATCAAACAAGTTCTCAGACGACGAACTGTAATTCGTGTGACCTGAATTAGAGTGATTACATTTTCTCTAGTTTATTTTATTCCTAGTTAGAAACGAACACTGTTGCCAACATAAGCCGAGGAGTCCTCAACCGTCATTTAATTTAAACTATGACGCTTCTCTATGTTCTTGGCTTGAACTTTTGTGTTTTAAATTACATAAATACATGCTCAAAAATAATTCAACTTTACACTAAATTTTATTACATATGTATTTTTTATGTGCGGACACACACGACGCATTTTTATTTTCGTAAGGACAGTGTTCGCATTTGTACCATTTGGCTTCACTCCCATCCAAATGTCGGTTATTCATATGACGCTTCAAATACTCAGGACGTTTGGCCTTGTATGGACAATGTTCACACTGATATGATTTGATATCCACATGAATCTTTCCATGTCTTTTTAATTTGGCTTTAGTGTTAGTTTCATATGAACAATTCGCACATTCAAACCGTTCTGGTTTTTCCGAATGATGAATCCGAACGTGCCTCTTTAAATTTCTGCGAAGTTTAGCTTTAAAAGGACACTCGTCGCATTCGTGCCACTTAACTTCGTTTTCATTCAAATGTAGACCCAACACGTGCATTTTTAACTGCGTGATCCGTTTAGTTTTGAACGCACAATTTTCACACGCGTACCAATTTATTTTTTCTTGGTCTTGATGTTTCGCAACTACGTGTAACTTTAAAGAGTTTTTATGCTTGGTTTTGAATGGACACTGATTGCATTCGCACCATTTAACGTATTCTTCGTCCAAGTGAAAGCTATTTATGTGGCTTTTTAAAGACGTCTTCGCTCTGGTTTTGAAATGACACTGGTCGCACTTGTACCATTTTTCGTCTTGGTTATCTAAATGATTTTCGAGTTTACTTTTGTAGGAACACACTTTGTCAATTTGATTGGAATCTCTAGTATATGGTGACGTCTCCAGAAGCCACTTCAACGACAGATTTGTTTCGAAGTCGCATTTTTCGCGAACGCTGAAATCTTCTTTTGATTCTTTTTTAACGCTATGATATTTATTAATGTGTTGTTTGAACTCAATCGTTAGTTCGGTTTTAAAATCACAGTCTTTACAATAATACGTTTCAATTTCGGCCTCTGAGCACGTAAATCGTTCCAGGGGGGCGCGGTGTCGTCTCACGTGGTTCACCATAAAGAAAAACGAAGTTGTAAAATAGGGGCACAGTTTACAGTTGTGGACGTTTTTCCAGGAAGATCTCCCTTGGTGACTGCTCCGGAATATTGCAATGTTGACATTTTGGTTGTCTGAAAAAGTTTTATGGCACGTACTAACCCCACATTTTTGCTATAACATAACCTCAAAAATTGAAAACTGAGCAACGTTGCCAAGACAATCATAAAAAAAGTCATGATGTGAAATTCAAACTAGCGCAATTTGAAATTTTATTTCAAACATAATTATATACATACAACTTAATACAATCACACATCAACTAAATTTAGCTTCCAATTCGATTCAAATGGGTGCAATTTATATGACGTCTTAATTCACCCTTGCGTTTCGCCTTATATGGACAATTTTCGCACTGATACGATTTGAAATCCGAATGGACCTTTACATGATTTTTTAAATTAGATTTGGTTTTACCCTTGTACGAACAATCTCCACACTCGTACCACTCCACTTCATCATCATCCAAATGTTGCACAATTACATGTTTTTTCAAATTTTTTGAGTGCTTAGTTTTGAATGGGCAATGTTCACATTCGTACCACCTTACCTCTTCTTCGCTCAAGTGTTTCATAATTATATGTTTTCTTAGATCTGCCTTCAGCTTAGTTTTATGTGAACACTCTTTACATTGGTGCCATTTAACGTCTCGTTCGTTGGGGTGTAATCGACTTATGTGGATTTTTAAACTACTTTTCAATTTAGTTTTAAACGGGCATTGTTCGCACTTGTGCCATTTAGCATTTTCTTCATCTAAATGGACACAATTTATGTGGTTTCTTAAGCTAGTATTATGTGCACTTTTAAATGGACACTTGTCACACGCATACCGTTTCTTTCTGACATAAATCACACGTCGACGATTTAAATTCATCCCCCTGCATTCATAAGTGTGCCGAAGCAGCTTTAGCGAGAAATTTGTTCCGAAGCCGCAATTTTCGCAAACGTAATTTTGTATGCTGAAGTCCCCACTTGATAAATCGTCCCTAGATTCTCTATTGAGGCCGTGATATTTAATAAAGTGTTGTTTGAACACAACCATTAATTCCGTTTGAAAATAGCAGTCTCTGCAGTAATAAACTTCAATTTTGGAGTTAGAACATGTAAATTTTTCCCTAGATCGGTGTCGTCTCACGTGGTTATTTAGAAGAAAAAGTGACGTTGTAAAATAAGGGCATTGTGTGCAGTTGTGAACATTTTTCTTTGAAGATTCCAACTCCAATGTTGACATTTTGGTTCCCTAAAACCGTTTTATTGCAATTTTGGTTAATTTATTTAAATTTTGTTGAAATTGTCACCTGTAATATGTATATGACCGATTGGAATGTTTTTAGTAGGTTATGAAAGCACAAAACAATTAAAATAAATGAAAAATAGACCAGTGTTGCCAGATTTCTCGTGATGAATATCGTAAGATCTGTCGGAACATTTCGGTACATTCCGTAAACAATTTTAAATTTATTTTTGCCTTTTTATATTAATATTCTTTTCATAACATGAAATTTAAAATATGTTTAAAATGGAAAATTTGTATAAAGAAAAAACGATTTTGCAATTAGGCTCCGGCCCACAACATACCTTCAGCACAGAATAATCATTTCTCGTATTCTTTTGACATATTAATTTTAATATTCGAGATAATTATTATATTATGCAAACACAATTTAGACACTGTAAAGCAAACGAGACTTATCAAGCCCGTCTATTAGTTTATTCGCCTAAATGTATTATTAATATATTTTTAAACGCTCTGTATTTTTGCTCGGTAAAAATGATAAATGCTAAGTTATATAATAAATGCTCAGTTAAAAAATAAATTCTCAGTAAAAATAATATATGCTTGGTGAAATAATAGCTGCTTAGTTAAATTAATAACTGTTCGGTTAAATAAGGAATGCTTAGTAAGAACCCTACGTGCTAAATATAAAAATTGGTCGAAGGTTATTTCGACAGATCAAAAATCAAAAAATCAAAATATCTGAAAATTGAAAATCCAGAAATTGAAAAGTTCTCAATATTCAAATCCTGAAAAATTGAGTATTGAAAACTTGAAAAATTGAGAAATCCAAGCATCAAAAAATAGTAAAATTGAAAAATGTAAAATTTAAAAATCCAAAAATTGAGAAATAAAAGAAAAGAAAAATCGAAAATTTAAAAATTCGGAATATTGAAAAATTAAAATATCGAAAAATTGAAGAATTGGGAAATCGAAACACCAAAAAAATAAAATTCAAAAATCAAAAAATTGAACATTCGAAAAACCAAAAAGTCGAAAAATCGAAACATCGGAATGTTCAAAAACTGAAACATCGAGAAATCAAAACATCAACAGTAGAGGAGTCAAAAAATCAAAAAATTAAGAAATCAAATTAGACCAAAATTGAAAAATCGAAAAGTTAATAATTGAAAAATTGAAATATTTTAAATGAAAAAAAATCGGTACACCGAAAAATTGAAAAATCTACAAATCGAGAAATTGAACATCGAAAAATTAAACAATTTAAAAATCGAAGAATTGGAAAACCAAAAAATCTAAACCGAGAACTTGAAAAATCGAATAATCGAGAAATCGAAACATCAAAAAATGGAAAAATTGAAGAACCGAAACATTGCAAAATCCCAGAACTGAAATACTGAAAAACTGAAAAATGGAAGGAAAATTGAAAAATCGAAAAAGTGAAAAAATTCAAAACTGAAATCTTGAAAAACTGAAAAATGGAAAGAAAATTGAAGAATCGGAAAAGTGAAAAAATCCAAAACAGAAACATTGAAAAATTCAGAAATGGAAAAATTGAAAAATCACAATTGAAGAAAGAATTGAAAAATCGAGAAATAGAGAAATGGGAAAATCAAAAAATCATTTAATCGAAAAATTGAGAAATCAAAAATTTAGAAACGTCAAAAATTGAACACTGAAAAATAAAAAAAAATCAAAATCGTAAAACTGAAACATCGGAAAATTGATACCTCGTTTAGCGAGTCCCCTGAACTTCAAAAGTTGACAACAAGATTTTGTTGTCTGCACATATAAAAAAAAACAGGCCAAAATGTAGCCCCGCCCACCCGCCCTGTCTCAATTGTAATGATTTTTTATTGCAAAAATCCTTATTTCTCTACAGAAAATTAAAAACATGTTTTTGAGTATCGTGTTGTCCAAAGAATACGATGTATATTAAGAAAAAAGTAAAACCAAAGATTAAGCCCCGCCCCGATCTCAATTCTCGACTGTGATGAATTTTTCATTCGTTGTCTGATCAAAGGGCGGAGCTTAATTGCAAAATCCATATTTACCACAATTTACCATTTTAAACATGTTTTAAGCTTCTTGTTCTGAAAAGACGACTACGTGTATCAAGAAAAAGGGGCAAAATATAAGCCCCGCCCACCCACCCTCTCTCAATTGTGATTATCTTTTTTTTTCATCGTCGAGAGCCTGGGCGGAATTTAATTGCAAAATCTTCATTATTTCTCTACAAGAAATTACCTTTGAGTATCGTGTTATTCGAAGAATACTATGTATATTAAGAAAAAATTAAAGCCGAAGATTAAGCTGCACCCATACCTGCCCTGATCTAAATAGCAATGAAGTTTTTATTCGTTGGCAAAATTTACCATTTTAAATGTGTTTTAAGTTTCTAAGAATAAAATAATTATCACAATTGAGACAGGGTGGGTGGGCGGGGCTTATACATTGCCTTTCTTTTCTTAATATACATAACCATCTTTTCATAACATGAATCTTAAAATATGTTTAAAATGGCAAATTATTATAGTCGCAAAATCCATATTTCTTTGCAAAAATGTAGCATTTTAAGCAGAAGACTGTTTTCTCATACCATGGCTAATTCATCAATTAGATGATTTATTAAAAAGTTTTCGAAAAATTTTGATCACAATATATGCTGACGCATTAATAAGAAGCAAAAAGAAAATAATCCTCGTAATGAGAATCTGAGATGCTCAGTTTTGCATCATTTTATTATCATAATAACTGTCGTAAAGTTGGTACCTCTAATTTTAGGACTCGGGATGTTGTACAGAGATTTGTTGCCGATGTGGCAACCATGGCGAAGTTACTAAACGACAATACGGCCGAAGATTCTAATAAGATAATAAAGTTGTCATTAAATAACAGTTTTAAGGGTGATCATGAGAATGAAGAGAGGGTGGGTGGGCGGGGCTATTGCTTGCTTATAAAAGACTCTGTAAGGAAAAATTTAACTTAGCCCCACCCACCCACCCGTTCCCACTTCCTTTTTCTTCTGAAATAAGAAATAAATCTTATAGCAAATAATACAACGGAAAAAAAGTTACGATTTGAGCTTTTTTTACATTTTTACAGCCTAGATTCTATTAGTTCCCAACCTATTCCCACTCTCCAGAGGAATAAATAATTAATCCCGCCCACCCACCCGCCTCCATTTCAGTGATTAATTTTATCTGCTCCGAATGAAAAGTGTAACTCATACTGAAGAGGAACAAAATTTGTCGTTGGAATGAGAAGAGGGCGGGTGGGTGGGGCTAATACTTGCTAAGATATGATTGTTTTCAGTAAATGATATGTCCTCTAATAAAAAAATAATTGGTGGGCGGGGCTACTATTTGTTTATAAGACTCCGTTGAAAAGCTAATATTTTAGCCCCGCCCACCCACCCGTTCTCTCATTTGTTTCTTCTGAAGTACGAAATAATTCTTATAGCAAATAGTACAACAAAAAAAGTTACTATTTGAGCTTTTTTTCTTTTTTACAGCCTAGATTCTATTAGTTCTCATCCCATTCCCACTCTCCAGAGGAACAAATAATTAACCCCGCCCACCCACCCCACCTCCATTTCAGTGAACAATTTTATAACTGCATTTTATTGTTCTACAAAATTGTAAAAAGTTTTTAACGTTTTTATTAATGAATATACAATAATAAAATAAAATTACGACAAAAAAACGGCAATAACGAAAATTAATTTCCTACGAGGAGATAAAATTGCAAAAGAATTTTTATTATATACAATATAATTTTGTTGATCACAATCGAGTTTCTCCAGTGTGGTTTTTATCGAAAATTTCATTTGGTTGCCTATTTAACACCCGTAGCATCCAAATGCCGCTTATTCATATGCCGCTTGAAAGTGTCACTGCGTTTCGTCTTATATGGACACCATCCACAGCGATACAATTTCACATCCAAATGGACCTTTACATGCACTTTTAAATCGTGTTTTCGTTTACTTTTATACGAACAGTTCATACACTCATACCACACCGGTTTTTAGAATGAATTCGAATCACGTGCATCTTCAAATTCTTCGGAAGCTTAGTTTTGAACGGGCAATTGTCACATTCGTACCACTTAATTTTTTCTTCGTCGACATGTTTCAACATCACGTGTATGCTTAAACTTCGCTTATCCTTGGTTTTGAACGAACACTCCTGGCACCGGTGCCAATTGACCTCTCGGTCATCCAGATGCCGAAAAATCACGTGATTCTTTAAACTCGACGCCCGTTTAGTTTTGAACGGACACTGTTTGCATTCGTACCACTTAGCGTCTTCTGCGTTCACGTGGAAGCTGTTTACGTGCCTTCTTAAATTGCCTTTGATTTTAGTTTTAAATCGACATTGTTCACAGTTGTGCCATTCGGCGTCCTGTTCGTCCAAGTGGCTACAATTTATGTGGATTTTTAAGCCTGCTTTGCGTGCACTTTTAAATGGACACTTGTCGCACTCAAATGGTTGATTCGTCACACTTTGGAGATTTTGGTTCTTTCTTGTGCATTCGGAAGTGTGCTGAAGCCACTTTAGTGAGAAATTTGTTCGAAAGTCGCAATTTTCGCAAACGTAATTTTGTATACTGAAGTCCCCACCCACTGGGGCATCGGTAGATTCTTTCTTAGGGCCGTGATATTCAAAAAAGTGTTGTTTGAACACAACCATTAATTCCGCTTGAAAATGGCAGTCTCTACAGTAATAAACTTCAATTTTGGACGTCGAACAGGTAAATTTTTCCGGAGATCGGTGTCGCCTCACGTGGTTCATCATAAGTAAAAGCGACGTTGTAAAATATGGGCATTGTTTACAATTGTGGACGTTCTTCCACGAGGAGCTTTCACGGGTTATGGAAGCTTGCGAAAATTCCAAAGTTGACATTTGGGCCACTTAAAACGGTTATATCACACTAGGAGAAAAAGTGACACTTTGCTTACCCAAACCCGTTGGGGTAACCAGATAAAACTCAAAACAATTAAGATTTATTAGAAATTTTTGTACATAACCTTAAATTCGTAACCACCAATCACACAACAGTATCCATAAATGTCACGTTCAAGTGTTCCCGCCAAAACCAAAAAAATTAAAAATTGACTAATTCAACCCTTTTTTTTTTTATTTTTCAAATTATCTAATATATCACCACCAGGCGAGGGAAGTTCTTTTGGAATAACGTTCGACCAATTTTTTACAAGCATCACATTTATTAAATAAATTAAAACATAAATTAATACTACAACACCTCTCTCTACACGTGTTTTTTTTTGTGTTTATAGAAACACGTAGGACTCTTAGTTTTGTAAGGACACTGTTCACATTTATACCACCTAGCCTCTTTTCCATCGGCGTGGCAGATGTTCATGTGGGTTTTTAAAGTATCGCCCATTTTGGCTGTATATGGGCAAAATTTGCACTGATACAACTTGGTATCTAAATGGTGGTTAGTTATGTGTAATTTCAAACAACCCTTCCTTTTATTTTTATACGAACAATTGGCACATTTAAACCACTCGGGGTTTTGTGAATGTGTAACGTTTACGTGCTCCTTTAAAGCCGGTTTAAATTTAGTTGTGAAAGGACACTCATCACATTGGTACCATTTACCATCTTCCTCGTTCAAGTGACAATTACGTATGTGTTGTTTTAAACTAGATTTTAGTCTCGTTTTAAAAAGACATTTTTCGCACTTGTGCCATTTACACACTTTTTCACCTAAATGGACCAGTTTCGTGTGGTTTTTTAAAGTTCTTACGTATCTACTTTTATACGGACACTGGTCACAGTTGTGCCATTTAACCAAATGGCGGTTGTTTATATGTTCGTTTAAGCGCCGATTCGATTTACCTGCGTATGGACAATAGTTGCATTGATGCAACGTGACGTCTGAATGCCGGCTTTTTATGTGTCGCTTTAAGTTGCATTCTTTTTCATTTTTATATGAACAATCGGCACATTCATACCATTTCGGGTTTCCTGAATCTACTAAGTGACGATTACGTATGTGTGGTTTTAAACTAGACTTCAATCTGGTTTTAAACTGACATTTGTCACACTTGTACCACTCACCTTCTTGTTCGTCTAAATGCGCCAGTTTCATGTGGTTTTTTAAAGTTCTCAAGTATCTATTTTTATACGGACACTGTTCGCAGTTGTACCATTTAACCAAATCACGTTCGTTTTTTAGATTTGTTTTTTTCGGTTTTAGTGAATGTTTAGCGTTCACGTGCTTCTCTAACGAGGACTTATATTTAGTTTTAAACGGACACTCTTCGCATTCGTACCACTTGTCTAAATGTTTCTTTATGTGACGTTTTAAACACAACGGCTGCATAGTTTTGTACGGGCAATTTTCACATTCGTACCATTTCACTTTTTCTTCGTCTACGTGGTGATAGGTTAGATGATTTTTTAAATTCATAGCCCGTTTAGATTTGTATGGGCACTTTTCGCATTCGTACCACTTAATTTTGTCTGCGTCTAGATGTTTCGCAATCACGTGATTCTTTAAATACCTTTCGTATCTAGTTCTAAAGGGACACTCTTCGCATTCGTACCATTTAATATCGTCTTCGTTCGGGTGCATGTAGTAGATGTGTTTTTTTAAGTTACGTTTTATTCTAGCTTTGAATGGACATTTTTCACACTCGTACCATTCACCATCGTCATCGGCTAAGTGGTTGCTATTAACGTGGATTTTAAAAGCTGCCTTCCACCTACTTTTATACGGACACTTGTCACATGCATACCGCTTGTCTAAATGTCGATTTGCGATATGGTGTTTTAAGTTGGAGTCGAGTTTGGCTTTGTAGGGACATTCTGTACAGTAATACCAACGTATTTCGTCTTGCACGCATGCTAAATTATGCTGAAGACACTTCAATGAAAAATTCGTTTCGAAGGCGCATTTTTCGCAAACGTAGTTTTGGATGCAGGAATTTTCTCCACGTTCACTTTTAATTCCGTGATGGGTGTTAAAGTGTTGTTTGAACACAATCGTTAATTCTGTCTTAAAGTCGCAATCTTTACAATAATATAATTCAATTTTGGCGTTTGAGCACGTAAATTTTTCCAAAGATGAACGGTGTCGTCGCACGTGGTTCGTCATAAGAAAAAACGATGTTGTAAAATACGGACACAGGTTACAAGTGTGCACGTTTCTCCATGAAGATTTTCCACCGAGCGTGAAAGCTTTGCAGTACTCCAAAATCGACATTGCGGTGGCCTGAAACCGTTTCATCACACTAGGCAAGAAAACTGGCTTTTCTTACTCAAAGAACTCAAGCAGAGCGTAAACTCATAGGCACATAACCTAAAAATTCCTCGACTTTTCGTTAGAATAGTCTTTGCTATGTCGATGTGGGAACCAGTTTCGTATTGTTTAGTGGCACCTTCAGGGACAACGAGTTAAAGGATGCGTCGTAACGCGTCTGGAACGAATTCACTCATTTGACTCATTTCACGTAAATATTGTGTAGGGTTTTTCACCGAAGAGGTTGGTAGAAAATTGTTTGACGTTTAATAGCTGACATTTATCGAAATCAATATTGATTGGGTATCGGGAAGATATTAATGTTATTTTTTTTTATAATTTAGTGTTTTTTCAAACACCGCTTCCACCTCTGAAAACAATGTCACAGTATATCACAAACCACCACAAACTCTCTACAAGCATTGTTTTGTGGGTTGGTACTACTGACTAGGTGTTAGAATTCAAATTTGACAGATTAGGTTTCTCACTTGAACTTTTCTGTTTTAAATTGTATAAATACATGCTCAAAAATAATTCAACTTAACACTAACTTTTATTACACATGAATTTTTTTGTGTGCGGACACACACGACGCATTTTTATTTTCGTAAGGACAGTGTTCGCATTTGTACCATTTGGCTTCACTCCCATCCAAATGTCGGTTATTCATATGACGCTTCAAATACTCAGGGCATTTCGCCTTGTATGGACAATGTTCACACTGATATGATTTAACATCCACATGAACCTTTCCATGTCTTTTTAATTTAGCTTTAGTGTTAGTTTCATATGAACAATTTGCACATTCAAACCGTTCTGGTTTTTCCGAATGGTGAATCCGAACGTGCCTCTTTAAATTTCTGCGAAGTTTAGCTTTGAAAGGACACTCTTCGCATTCGTGCCACTTAACTTCCTTTTCATCCAAATGTAGACCCAACACGTGCATTTTTAACTGCGTTATCCGTTTGGTTTTGAACGCACAATTTTCACACGCGTACCACTTTATTTTTTCTTGGTTTTGATGTTTCGCAACTACGTGTAACTTTAAAGAGTTTTTATGCTTAGTTTTGAATGGACACTGATTGCATTCGTACCATTTAACGTATTCTTCGTCCAAATGAAAGCTATTTATGTGGCTTTTTAAAGACGTCTTCGCTCTGGTTTTGAAATGACACTGGTCGCACTTGTACCATTTTTCTTCTTGGTTATCTAAATGATTTTCGAGTTTACTTTTGTAGGAACACACTTTGTCAATTTGATTGGAATCTCTAGTATATGGTGACGTCTCCAGAAGCCACTTCAACGACAGATTTGTTTCAAAGTCGCATTTTTCGCGAACGCTGAAATCTCTTGATTCTTTTTTAACGCTATGATATTTATTAATGTGTTGTTTGAACTCAATCGTTAGTTCGGTTTTAAAATCGCAGTCTTTACAATAATACGTTTCAATTTCGGCCTCTGAGCACGTAAATCGTTCCAGGGGGGCGCGGTGTCGTCTCACGTGGTTCACCATCAAGAAAAACGAAGTTGTAAAATAGGGGCACAGTTTACAGTTGTGGACGTTTTTCCAGGAAGATCTCCCTTGGGCTGTAACTGCTTCGGAATATTGCAATGTTGACATTTTGGTTGTCTAAAAAAGTTTTATGACACGTACTAACCCCACATTTTTGCAACAACATAACCTCAAAAATTGATCACTGGGCAACGTTGCCAAAACAATCATAAAAAAAGTCGATGTGAAATTCAAACTAGCGCAATTTGAAATTTTATTTCAAACATAATTATATACATACAACTTAATACAATCACACATCAACTAAATTTAGCTTCCAATTTGATTCAAATGGGAGATATTTATATGACGTCTTAATTCACCCTTGCGTTTCGCCTTATATGGACAATTTTCGCACTGATACGATTTGAAATCCGAATGGACCTTTACATGTTTTTTTAAATTATATTTGGTTTTACCCCTGTACGAGCAATCTCCACACTCGTACCACTGCACTTCGTCATCATCCAAATGTTGCACAATTACATGTTTTTTCAAATTTTTTGAGTGTTTAGTTTTGAATGGGCAATGTTCACATTCGTACCACCTTACCTCTTCGTCGCTCAAGTGTGTCATAATTATATGTTTTCTTAGATCTGCCTTCACCTTAGTTTTATATAAACACTCTTTACACTGGTGCCATTTAACGTCTCGTTCGTTGGGGTGTAATCGACTTATGTGGATTTTTAAACTACTTTTCAATTTAGTTTTAAACGGGCATTGTTCACACTTGTGCCATTTAGCATTTTCTTCATCTAAATGGACACAATTTATGTGGTTTCTTAAGCTAGTATTATGTGCACTTTTAAATGGACACTTATCACACGCATACCGTTTCTTTGTGACATAAATCACACGTCGACGATTTAAATTCATCCCCCTGCATTCATAAGTGTGCCGAAGCAGCTTTAGCGAGAAATTTGTTCGGAAGCCGCAATTTTCGCAAACGTAATTTTGTATGCTGAAGTCTCCACTTGATAAATCGTCTCTAGATTCTCTCTTGAGGCCGTGATATTTAATAAAGTGTTGTTTGAACACAACCATTAATTCCGTTTGAAAATAGCAGTCTTTACAGTAATAAACTTCAATTTTGGAGTTAGAACATGTAAATTTTTCCCTAGATCGGTGTCGTCTCACGTGGTTATTTAGAAGAAAAAGTGACGTTGTAAAATAAGGGCATTGTGTGCAGTTGTGAACATTTTTCTTTGAAGATTCCAACTCCAATGTTGACATTTTGGTTCCCTAAAACCGTTTTATTACACCTGAAAACCAGTTCAATTTTGGTTATTTAATTTAAATTTTGTTGAAATTATCACCTGTGATACATCTGACAGATTTGAATGTTTTTTGTAGGTTATGAAACCATAGAATCACAAAACAAGTAAAATAAATGAAACAATTGACCAGTGTTGCCAAATTCCTCGTGATGAATTAAATTTATTTTTGCCTTTTTATTTTAAAATTCTTTTCATAACATGAAATTTAAAATATGTTTAAAATGGAAAATTTGTATAAGGAAATAACGATTTTGCAATTAAGCTCCGAAAATCCATATTTCTTTGCAAAAATACCATTTTAACTATGTTTGAAGTTTTTTGTTGTGAAAAGATGGCTATGTATGTTAAGAAAAAGAAGGCAAAATATAAGCCCCACCCACCCGCCCTCTCTCAATTCTGACGATTTTTTTATTCGCCGTAAGCCGAGGGGCGGAGCTTAATTGTAAAATGTGTTCTTAAGTAATCGTGTTATACGAAGAAAATGAAATGCATTAATTAAAAAAGAAAACCAAGAGAGAAACCCCACCCATCCGTCTCGATCTCAATCGTGATGAATTTTTCATTTGTTGTCACACTGACGGGGCGGAGACTAATTGCAAAATCGATACTGGCCTACAAAAATTTACAATTTTAAACATGATTTACCTTTCTTGTTGTGTAAGGGTAAAATGTAAGCCCTTGTAGCTATAATACCTAATCTGTTTTTGAGACAAATATCAATAAATCTAGTAGATTTAAAAGCTACAGTGCAGAAAAGGATGACAGCTCTTTAAAATATGCGGATTTCGGTGAACAGGTGATTATATGGCTTAATATTAGTGGACCTCATTATCTCTATGAAAATTTGATTTTCGTAGAATTAGTGCTGTCAACCAGAAAAAATGTCCCAGCTACTTCAGGGGATTTTCCTTCAGGTTGGCAGCACTGCAGACCACCCCAATTTGATTGGTTGAAAAGTCAACGTCGATGACAACGTAACTACAGCATATCAAATTAATCACTGAAATGGTGGCGGGGCGGGTGGGCGGGGTTAACTGTTTGTTCTTTTGTAGAGTGAGAAGTGTATTAATAAGAAGTAAAAAAAGCTCTCATCGTAATTTTTTCTGTTGTACTTCTTGCTATAAGATTTATTTCTTATTTCAAAAGAAGAAAAATGAGAGAACGGGTGGGTGGGCGGGGCTAACTGTAACTTTTTCCTACAGTCTTTTATAAGCAAGCGATAGGCCCGCCCACCCACCCTCTCCTCATTCTGGTAATCGCCCTTAAAACTTTGGAATCTTCGGCCCAATTGTCGTCTAGTAACTTCGCCATGGTTGCCACATGACAGATACCAAATTTACGATAGCTATTATGATAATAAAATGATGTAAAACTGAAGATATTAAATTCTTATTACGAACATTATTTTCTTTTTGCTTCTTATCAATGCACCAGTTGTTATCAAATGTAATCAAAATTTTTCGAAAACTTTTTAATAACTCAACTGATTAATGAATTTTATGTAATGAAAGTGTTACCTAACGTTTTTCACCGGCGATGTTGGTGGAATACAGTGACAAATGTTAGGTTACCGCGAAGATATGAATGATTTTTAATGCGCAGTGTTTTTATTATTTATTTATTTGAAACATGTAAGATAAAAAAATAAACATTACATTCTCTTTTATTCACAATCTTACACAAATGCTAAAAAATATTTTTAAAAATAAGATCAATTTTTAATTTCATTATGGAGATTGTTCACACTTCAACCATATAGTTTCACTTTCACTTTCATGTTCCACATGACGGAAATTCACATGACTCTTTAAATCACCACTGCGTCTCGCCTTATACGGACAATACTCGCACTGATACGATTTGATCTCCAAATGCACCCTCACGTGATGTTTTAAATTACTTTTCGTTTTACTTTTGTACGAACAGTCTTCACATTTATGCCACTCGATTTTTTCTTCATCTAGATGTCTAACAGTCACGTGTAGCTTCAAAGACGTTTTATATTTGGCTCTGAAAGGACACTCAGTGCATTCGTACCATTTAACATCTTCGTCGTTCAAGTGTAACGTTTTAATGTGCCTTGTTAAACTGCCTTTCGCTTTGGTCTTGAAAGGACATTTAACACACTCGTGCCATTTAACATCTTGTTCGTCCATGTGCATTTGATTTATGTGGTTTCTTAAACTCGAGTTATATTTACTCCGAAATGGACACTTGTTGCATGCATAGCGCTTGTTCAAATTGTGATTTCTTACATGACGGGTTAAATTACGTTTGAATTTAGCTTTGTAGGGGCATTCCGTACAGTAATACCAACGCATTTCGTCATTTTGAAGATTTTTTTTCCGTGTTGTACATGCTGAAGTGTGTTGAAGCCACTTCAGCGAGAGATTTGTTTCGAAGCCGCATTTCTCGCAAACGTAATTTTGTATGGTGAAGTCGTCACTCGATAAATCGTCTCTAGGTTTTCTTTTAGGGTCGTAATGTTTATTAATGTGTAGTTTGAACAGAATCGTCAGTTCCGTTCTAAAATTGCAGACTTTACAATAGTACACTTCAATTAAGCCCTTTGAGCACGTAAATTTTTCTAAGGAAGTTGACATTTTGGTGACCTAAAAGCGTTTTATTACATTGCGGCTACCTGGGGACAGTTAAAACTGGAAGACATCGTCTGCGGTACTTGGTTTAGGATATAGGATCTTATGACACTTCGAAATGAGTCAGTTCTTAACCTAAAATTTTTACGTCAAAAATGACACTTCGTTTTTGCTCACGGCATCTGGCAACGTCGCGAATGGTCATTAACCAATCATAAAAAAGTCATGAGGTCAAATTCAAACTAGCACAATTTGAAATTTTATTTCAAATATAATTATATAAATACAACTTAATACAATCACACATCAACTAAATCCGACACGTGTTTTTTTTTGTGTGTATAAAAACATGATTTATTTTTACTTTTGTAAGGACACTGCCCGCATTCGTACCATTTAGCTTCAATCCCATTCAAATGGCAGCTATTTATATGACGCCTTAAATCACCCTTGCGTTTCGCCTTATATCGACAATCTTCGCATTGATACGATTTGCAATCCAAATGGACCTTTAGATGGTTTTTTAAATTAGCTTTGGTTTTACCTTTGTATGAACAATCCCCACATTCGTACCACTTCACTTCTTCTTCATCCAAATGTTGCACAATTACGTGTTTTTTTAAATTATACGAGTGTTTAGTTTTGAATGGGCAATGTTCGCATTCATACCACCTTATGTCTTCTTCATTCACATGTTTCCTAATAATATGTGCGTTTAAGTCTGACTTCGCCTTAGTTTTATATAAACACTCTTTACATTGGTGCCATTTAACGTCTCGTTCGTTCAAGTGTAAGCGATTTATGTGCCCTTTTAAACTTCTTTTGAATTTAGTTTTAAATGGGCATTGTTCGCACTCGTACCATTCAGCATTTTGTTCATCCAAATGGACACAATTTATGTGGATTCTTAAGCCTTCGTTACGTGCACTTTTAAATGGACACTTATCACAAGCATACCGTTTCTCTCTGATATAACTCACACGTTGAAGATTTCGTTTTTTTTCTGTGCATTCAAAAGTGTGTCGAAGCAACTTTAGCGAGAAATTCGTTCGAAAGTCGCAATTTTCGCAAACGTAATTTTGTACAGTGAAGTCCCCACTTGATAAATCGTCTCTAGATTCTCTCTTGAGGCCGTGATATTGAAAAAAGTGTTGTTTGAACACAACCATTAATTCCGTTTGAAAACGGCAGTCTCTGCAGTAATAAACTTCAATTTTGGAGTTAGAACATGTAAATTTTTCCAGAGATCGGTGTCGTCTCACGTGGTTCATCATAAGAAATAGTGACGTTGTAAAATAAGAGCATTGAGTGCAGTTGTGGACATTTTGGTTCCCTAAAACCGTTTTATTACACCAGAGAAGCAGATGCAATTTTGGTTACTTAATTTAAAGCTTGTTGGAACGGTTAAAATTGGAAATTGTCACCTGTATCGCATCTAACAGATTGGAATCTTTGTAGGTTAGAAAACCATAGAAGCACACAATATTGAATAAGTGATGGGTGTACAATAAAAGTATATTAGCAATTTTTTGAATGAAAACTCAATTGTTTATGTTTTTTTTTAAGTATACAATGAGTTACGTCAAAAACTGACGGAAATTGTAGATGGGATTTAACAAAAATTAAACAATTTTTAAGTATAACTGGTTGCATAACCAAGATGATCCTGATCACAGTAGAGACCTATTCATGAATTTCCTACCAACATGAAACAACTAAAGTTAAAAGTACCTGAAGGGACCAACGTTTTGAGGTTATGTGTATACAACGTGAACTGTTTATATTTTAATCTACAGGTTCGTAATACAAGATTCGTTTTTATAATAATCTTTTAACGTAACAATACGACACGAATTTCAGACTAGACGAATTGGTAACTTTGCAATATTCCGAATCCGTCACCGCCCCCCAAGAAGCCCTCTCTGGTCAACGTCCATGACTGTAAAATTTGCCCATACGTTACAACGTCGTTTTTCCTGATGATGAACCACATACGCCGTCATCAGTCGCCTTTGGTACCTTTTAACTGCGTAAACCCCCTTGATTCTTACCATTGCAAACACTGCAGTTTTCAAACTGAACTAACGCTGCTTTTCAAGCAACACATTAAAGAACACCATGGAATTAAACACGAAAACGACGATTTAATTGTACAACACAATAATCAAAAATACGTTTGTGGAAAGTGCGGATTTGAGACGCATTTTTTGCTTAAATGTTTATGTCACATTCAAGAGTGTCAACAGTCTAAAGAACAACCAAATTCGAAAAGGAATATTAACGCACGACATGTAGACGACCTTGACGCCAAATGGTACAAATGTAAAAAGTGCTCGTTTAGATGTAAACGCAACTCAGATTTGTTGGGACACGTGAACCTTTGTCATTTGAACGTAGAGAACGACAAGTGGAACGAATGCCAACAGGGTCCGGACAGGACTAGAGATTGTTCGAACTTAAGGAGTGACGTGAGAAGCCAGCATTCGAATGGAAAATGTATCACGTGGTATCAGTGCAATGAGTGTCCAGTTAAAACAATAGACAAGAAGCTTTTGCAGAAACACGTGAAAGCACGACATTCCAACGAACATAAAGGCATTAAATGCTACAATTGTGAAAAATGCCAATTCAAAACCAAATACCGGAACGTTTTAAATAGACACATTAATTCGCGGCATTTGGACAAAAGCGAAATAGAGTGGCACCCCTGCAGTGAGTGTCCGTACAAGTCCAAAGACAAAGACGGTTTGAAAAAACACATTAACGCACGGCATCTGGACGACCAAGACGCGAAGTGGTATGAATGTAAACAGTGTCCTTACAAGGCTAGAGATTGTTCGTCGCTAACGAAACACTTGAAATCCCAGCATTTGGAACGACATGACATAAAATGGTATCATTGTGAAAAGTGCCAATACAAAGCCAAACACCCCTACTGTTTAAAGAAACATATAAATCGGCGGCATTTAGACATGAATGAAATCAAGTGGCACCACTGCACTCAGTGTCCGTACAAGTCCAAAGACAAAGACGGTTTGAAAAGACACATTAACGCACGGCATCTGGACGACCAAGACGCGAAGTGGTACGAATGTACACAGTGTCCATTCAAGACTAGAGATTGTTCGACCGTAAAGAAGCACATGAAATTCGAGCATTTGGAAGGATATGGTGTTAAATGGTATGATTGTGAAAAGTGCCAATTCAGAACCAAATACCCCCAGTCTTTAAGGATTCATATAAATCGCTGGCATTTGGACAAGAATGAAATTAAGTGGTACCACTGCAGTGAGTGTGCGTTCAGGAGCAAAAACAAAAGCGGTTTGAAAAGTCACATTAACGCACGGCATCTGAGCGACCAGGACGCGAAATGGTACGAATGCACACACTGTTCACACAAAACTAAGAATCTTTCAAATTTAAACCACCACATAAAAACGCAGCACTTGAATGTGAACGGTGACCATCTAATAGACAAAAATCGAGTTTGATGTGTCGTGTCCATACGTGTTATTATCGGTGGCCAAGCATGGACACTAACAAAATTATTTATTTGGGTGTAGGCCCCTTTCCTTGGAAATGGATAGCTAAATTGCAATCAGGGAGAGGTAATAAGTAAGATGTGGAATTCATTTAAAAAATGTATTAAGTATAAATTTAACAGAATTAATAGTTAAAATTGTAAGTCCCAGACAAAGGTTAAATATAATTGCATTCTTAAGACTACGAAACCGAAAATCGATATTTGACGCGTCCGCTAAATAATAATGATCTCTACTTGATAATACAAATCTAAAATAATTACTCTTCACTTCAATTATTTAGATATATGGCAATCAACAGTTGCTACAAAAGGGCCAAATATCTACGTCTCGTTAAAGTTATTTAAAACGAAAACGCTACTCGAAATATCCTTAAATAATCTTTTCCTATCTCTGATCAATAAAATATTAGTACAAAACTTAAATTAAATGTCAGTGATTAATTGCAAGTCTGGCGTTAAATAGGTAGGACATGGACGTATTAGGTCCACTCTACGAATGGTACTTTTTACAAGGATCATCCCCTATTACCCTAAGTTACAATAATAAAATTTGGGATGATTAGAATCTATACAAACGAATTAAAAATATGATAATAATAATAAAAAAAAAACTATTGTAATATTAAGAAAAGAAGTTTCCGGACCTTAAAACAACAGTAAATATGAAAATACTGTAACGATTTTTAAATCTAAGCGCGCTCGGTGAGCAAGGTCGCGGAAGAGTGGGATCGGTTTTTACGGGCGGCGAGAAAAAGAGGAGGTGAAGAGCGTTTTTTGAGCGAATTGAATTGCTGTGAAAATCGAGATTTTGGCAAAATAAGGAACCAAGAACAGCTAGGTGAGTCCCTATTTGGCCTAGAATATTTAAATAGAAGGAGGAACTAGGTTCTTTGTACGGGTGCCGTCGATTCGTGGTTGGTTGCCGTCTCCGTCGTCACTGTCCCATATTCGTCGATTCGTGGTTGGTTACCGTCTCCGTCGTCACTGTCCCATATTCGTCGATTCGTGGTTGGTTGCCGTCTCCATCGTTGCTGTCCCATACTATGGTAACATCTCCTAGGGGAGCTTTGAACATAAGAGGATCGCTCCGAAGTGCTTCACCAGGAAAGAGCTTACGTAAATTTGCGGAAAGTACTTAGCATGTAAGATCGTAGAGGTGGTACCATTTCGCGAAGGGCGTTTGTTAATATAAAGTTACTGAAAATTAGTTTGTTGTCCGTTCGTCCCTTTCCTTGTTGGGTTAACTACCCAGCTGGCGCCCAAAGGACCCCCCAATATATAAAAAAAGGCCGGAGAATATCAAAATCGCCACAATACTAATTTAAGATTACTACCTGATTATTCATAGGAAAATTTAAAAAACAAAAATTTTAAAAATCCAAGAATTGAACAACAAAAAAATCTAAGCCTGAAAACTCAGAAAATTGAATGATCGAGAACAAAAAATCTAAAATTTAAAAATTCGACAAATTGAAAAATCATGGAACTGAAAAATCGAAAAGTCGAGATAGTGAGAAATCTAAAAGCCTAAAACTTTAAAAACTGAAAAATTAAAATATCAAAAAATTTAAAAACCGAGAAAACACAATATCAAAAATTTGAAAAATTGAAGAAACGAAATATTGCAAAATTCCAAAGGTGAAATATTGAAAAACCTAAAAATGGAAGGAAAATTAAAGAATCGAAACAGTGAAAAAATCCCAAACTGAAACATTGAAAAATTGAGAAATGGAGAAATGGGAAAATCAAAAAAATTGGTCTAACGAGTTTAGACAGTACTTCCCTCGCTATCGGAAACGTGACGACTGCATGCCTATTATGTTTTTTTTCACATTAGATTTCAAAGTATTCGCTTTTGTAGTTCCTGATTAAATCAATCAAATAAATTTGCGCATTCATTAAATTTTTTGAGTCACCCTGTATATCCGAATCCAAAAAATATGAATAGAATGATAAATTACAAGAAGAGACTCATCATATTTTGTACATTTTAAATAGGATTATACGGCAAACTTTTGAGCTGACATCATCAATTTTTTGGAGGGGATAAGTGAATATATTGTGATTAATACGGTCCTGGTTTAATAACAAAAAAGTATTGTTCGTCTATAAAACAAGCTCGTCTTAGACAAAGTATTCGTAAAAAAATATGTCGTAAAAAAATGTACGTATGCTGGTCCCGATTGCGATTATGGTTTAAATATTTTTTAGAAAATCCTGTCATGGATGTAGAAACATTTGTGACAGCCAAAGAGGTTTTTTTGAAAAAATTATCTTTGAATTTAGACCAAATTGAAATAGACATTAGCAACAAGCACATTTGGGCAAAAGAAAGAGAAATTAGGGTTACGGCTTCAAATTTTTGACGTATTTACAAACTTAGACAGACTACAACAACAGCTAACACTGTGGAGTCTGTGTTGTACAATACATTTAGAGGTAATAGTCGTACATACTATGGACAACAAAGTGAGGAAAAAGCTGTCAAGTGTTTTGAAATAAATAAAAATATAAAAATTGAACGGTGTGAATTATTTCAAAACGATTTCCTTACTTGGCTGCTAGTCCAGACAGGGTTCTAGAGGATAGAAGTGCATTAGTCGAAATTAAATGTCCTTCAAAATCGCAAGATTTGTCTCCCGAAGAAGCGGTTAGAAAAAAATAATCAAATTTTGTACATTGACAGACAGAGAATTGAAAGTAAAAAAAAATCATGATTACTACTTTCAAGTCCAGGGACAAATGTTTGTTACGGGTATTTCACAAGTTTATTTTGTTATATGGACACCCAATGGAATAAATATAGAAAAAATTTATAAAGACGAAGAAATATATGTAAAAAGATGGCAGATAAACTTGGCAGATTTTACTTTGGCGCATTATTGCCCGAAATAATTGATTCAAGAAGAAAGAGAAACCTGCCTTTGCGAGAGATTTTTTTAAAATAAATAAAATTTGTTTCTATTTTTTTATGTACTTTAATAATATAATTTATTAGGAGTACATTTTTCATCACCAAGACTTGCATATTTTTATTATAAATATATTTTGAAAATGATCTCTCGGCAAATGAAAACATATACGAGCACTTTTTTCGAGTAAACAATGAAGGGAGAAGTTACAGGGCGTAGGGCTTTTTTAAAACACCTCCTTTCTGGGATAAGTAGCTACTTATACGTGTTAAACAAAAGCTGTATTTTATATATTTTTTATTATTATTATAAATATGTTTTTTAGTTTTATTAATTAACAAAGTAAAATATATATTAACAATAATATTACAATGAATTTTTAGTAATCATGTGTATTGAATTCAGGATCCTGAGTGGAGTAAAAATATTATAGTTCCCCAGTTTTAATTCGTTTTTATGATAGTACCTCATTGCGTAAAAGTTAATTTCCTTAACAATAGATTACTACGGCCGGTCCTGGCGGCTTGTTATAAAACTGAGTTCCTTGCCATAAATTAGAAAAATCAGCTGAGAACGCCAACAATCAGCTTATGGCAGAGCGATCTAGACGCGAAGTGGTATGAATGTAAACAGTGTCCATTCAAGAATAAATATTCTTCGACCCTAAAGAAGCACATGAAATCCGAGCATTTGGAAGGATATGATGTCAAATGGTATGATTGTGAAAAGTGCCAATTCAAAACCAAATACCCCCCTTCTTTAAAGAATCATATGAATTGCTGGCATTTGGACGAGGGCGAAATAGAGTGGCACCAATGCACTTTGTGTCCTCACAAGAATAGACTGAAACAGGGTTTGAAAAGGCACATTAACGCACGGCATTTGGACGAGCAGGAAGTGAAATGGTACAAATGCACACATTGTCGATACAAAACTAAGAATCCTTCAAATTTAAAGCGCCACATAAAAAATCATCATTTGAATGCGAACAGTAAACATTTAATAGCAGACAAAAATCGAGTTTGACGCCACTTGTGAAGTTTAAACAAAATTTTTTGTGAATAATAATTAAACGGCAAGAAGCTGTATAACGTGTTGCATAATCTTTATCCGTCACTAATTTACTACCAACATTAAGCACCCAAAGTACCAATATTTTGAGGTTACGTTTTGACAATTTGATTTCAGAGTTATTTTTATATTAAAAATTGAGAAGACGACACATTACAAAACGAAAGCTTAAAAAATCGAAAAATTGAAGAACGGAAAAATTAAAAAATAGAAGCAGCTCAAAATCCAAAAAGCGAAACATCGGCAAATTAGAAATTAAAAAATTTGAAAAATTGAAGAATCGCAAAACCAAAACGTCAAAATTTTTTTAAATGGAAAAATGGAGAACTAAGAACTAAAAAAATCGAAACATAGAAATGTTAAAAAATTGAGAAATAAAAAAATTTTCGAAATCTAAAAATCGAAACACAAAAACGAAAGCTTGAAAAATGTAGAGTTCAAAAAAATCCAAAAATTGAGGAACTGAAAGATCGAGAGAAATCACCAAAATTTAAAAAAAAAAACAAAAAATCAAGAAGGCGAAAAACTGAGAAATTGGAAAATTGAAAAATCGAGAAATCGAAATTTAAAAAATAGAAGCAGCCCAAACGCTAAAACGCGGCAAATTAGGAGCAAAAAAATTGAAAAATTTAAAATTAAAAAAAAACGAATTAGATTGAAAAATTGACGAATCGAAAAATCGAAATGTCAAAAAATTAAAGAACGGACAAATTAAAAATTTTTAAAATTGTGACATTGAAAAATAGGAAATCAAAAATATTGAAAAATCGAAAATCAAAACATTTGCAAAATCGAGCAATTGAAAAATCACAAAAACTAGAGTTTGAAAATGTAGAATTTAAAATATCGAATAATTGAAGAACTAAAAGATCGAAAAATTAAAGAAATTAAAAAAAGAAAATTCGAGAAATTGATCCAAATTTTAATTGTTGAAAAATTGAAAAAGGGAGAAGGCGAAAGGTCGAAAAACCGAGAAATCGAAATGTTAAAATATGTAAAAAACTGAAAAACTGGAAAATTAGTAATTAAAAAAGTTGAAAAATATAAAATTTAAAAAAATCGAAAAACCGAATTAGATTAAAAAATTCGAAAAATGGAAAAATGGAAATGTCAAAAAATTAAGAAATCGGATAAATAAAATAAAAAATTGAAAAAAAAATTAAATTGCAACCGTTTTTCCGGAATCGACCGTTGAAATATCGAGATTTTTAGAAATTCTCAAAAATTCGCATTTCGTAGCGATTCTTTCGAAAATGTTGCTCCGTGACCGTCAAAACCCTATATTTTTGGAATCAGCACGTCGAGATCTACGTCCCTGAATTTTTTCAGAATTTTTAGAAAACTTTTTTAAAAGTGAAATTTTTCCAATGGTCTCCCCTTCTTCACATTTCGGCCAAATTTTGACATTTTCGAAACTCAACTAAACACATTTTTTTGTAAAGTTCGAACTGTAGAACTCAGTTCCGGGTTCGTTTCTTTGATAACTGCAACCGATTTTCCGAAATGGACTTAAAAATCGGAAAGCTGAAAAGTCGAAAGATCAGAAAAACTAAAGCTTGAAATGTGTAGAATTTAAAAATTCGAAAAACGGAGAAATTTGGAAATCGAAAAATTGAAAAATTGGGAAATTGAAAAATCGACAAATCGAAACATACAAAGTTTAAAAAATAGAAGCAGCGCAAAAGCGAAAAATTGGAAAATTAAAAATTAAAACTGTTGAAAAATGTTAAATTAAAAAAATCCAAAATACGAATTAGATTAAAAAATTGAAGAATCGGAAAATGTCAAAAAATTATGAAACCGGGAAATAAGAAAAAATCAAAATTGAAACATTGAAAAATCGGAAATCAAAAATTTTAAAAATCGAAGAATGAAAAACGAAGAAATCGAAAATTCGAAACGTTGAAATTGAAAAATCATAAAGTTAAAAAATCGAAAAATTAAACAACCGCAAAACTGAAATATCGGAAAATTGAAAAATAGATAAGTCGAAAAATCGACAAATATAAGTAAAAAAAATCGCGAGAACAAAAAACAAAAATAAAAAAAATTCAAAGTTTGATTTTTCATCCAAATATCCGGATGTTAACAGTTTAAATAACATATTATTAGTTTTGTAAAATTTGGACATGACGTCATCTCATACGATATTCCTAAAAATTGTCAAAATTCGACAACATTCGATCTGGTAATTTAGAGAGATAAACGGAAACGAGAAACTTAATTTTTTGAGCTCTAAGGGTCACGAAGCATAAAAAAACAGAAGAATAGTCATTAGCCTCAAGACCTCGAATTGAAGCTTAAAATGACAATTGACCTGTATAAGGTGTTGCCTAATCTTGACCTATTCATGAATTTACTACCAACATGAAACAACTAAAGTTAAAAGTACCTGAAGGGACCAACGTTTTGAGGTTATGTCTAAACAATGTGAATTGTTTATATTTTAATCTACAGGTTCGTAATACAAGATTCGTTTTTATAATAATCTTTTAACGTAACAATACGACACGAATTTCAGACTAGACGAATTGGTAACTTTGCAATATTCCGAATCCGTCACCGCCCCCATGGAGTCCACTCTGGTCAACGTACATGGCTGTAAAATTTGCCCATACGTTACAACGTCGTTTTTTCTGATGATGAACCACATTCGCCGTCATCAGTCGCCTTTGGTACCTTTTAACTGCGAAAACCCCCTTGATTCTTACCATTGCAAACACTGCAGTTTTCAAACGGAACTAACGCTGCTTTTCAAGCAACACACTAGAGAACATCATGGAATTAAACACGAAAACGACGATTTAATTGTGCAACACAAAAATCAAAAATACGTTTGTGTAAAGTGCGGATTTGAGACGCATTTTTTGCTTAAATGTTTATGTCACATTCGAGAGTGTCAACAGTCTAAAGAACAACCAAATTCGAAACGGCATATTAACGCACGACATGTAGACGACGCTGACGCCAAATGGTACAAATGTAAACAGTACTCATTTAGATGTAAACAGTGCTCATTTAGATGTAAACACAACTCATCTTTGACTCGACACGTGAACCTTTGTCATTTGGACGAAGAGAACGACAAGTGGAACAAATGCCAACAGGGTCCGGACAAGACTAGAGATTGTTCGAACTTAAGGAGTGACGTAAGAAGCCAGCATTCGGATGAGAAAAGTATCACGTGGTATCAGTGCAATGAGTGTCCAGTTAAAACAAGAGACAAGAGGGTTTTGCAGAAACACGTGAAAGCGCGACATTCCAATGGACACGGGGACATTAAATGGTACAATTGTGAAAAATGCCAATTCAAAACCAAATACCGATCTGGTTTAAATAGACACATGAATACGCTACATTTGGACGAAAGCGAAATAGAGTGGCACCACTGCACTCAGTGTCCTTACAAGTGCAAAGTGAAAGGCAGTTTGCAAAGACACATTAACACACAGCATCTGGACGACCAGGACGCGAAATGGTACGAATGTAAACAGTGCTCTTTTAGATATAAAAACCACAAATCCTTGAGGAGACATGTTAACCGTTGTCATTTGGACGAAAAGGACGGCATGTGGTATGAATGTCAACAGTGTCCATTTAAGACTAGAGATTGGTCGATCCTAACGAACCACGTGAAATTCGTGCATTTCGATGGATGGTATGATTGTGAAAAGTGCCAATTCAAAACCAAATACCCTCGTTCTTTAAAGGAGCATATTAACGCACGGCACCTGAACGATCGGGACGTGAAATGGTACCCATGCACATATTGTGCACACAAAACTAAGAATAGTTCGAATTTAAAAAACCACATAAAAAGGCACCACTTGAAAGCGAAAATTGACCATTTAATAGCAGACAAAAATCGGGTTTGATACTACATGTGAAGTGTAAACAAAGTGTATGCAGACTTTTAGACTTTTTGGAACGAAGTTCCTTACGGCAGGCTTGGAGGAGATAGGGATTTTGCTACGCGACCGAACTGAAACAAATGTGATCCTAAAACCGTAAGAAAAACTCCGTGGAAAAAATTCCGTGGAATAAAACCGTTAAATGCGACGTGCGCAGGCGCGACCAGAGGTTTTGTGCGAGCCGCACTTCAGACGGCGGCCGCCTTACAAGTGTAGGTAAGCAGAGAAAAAATGTTGTGCCTCGGTGGGATTCGAACCCACGTCCCTTTGCTCTCAGGGCAGGTATGCTTACCACTACACCACGAAACGACTTATTTATTCTCTGCTTACCGACGTGTTATTGTGCCGCCAGACAAGGTTGAAGGTCCACACACGTGCAGCTGCCTTACAAAGACACCGCCAACACGTGGAGACCGCACCGACAAAATATAAAAAATGTCCTAAACTTCTCTCTTTATTACCACTCCACCCCGCCAATGCATAGTATATACTCATTAATTCATGGACAAGCACGTGGCGAATACGCACATTATAGATACATTTTACTCGTGAGTAGCCACATTTATTTTCATACAATTTCAAATCGTTAAAACAATAATAAATATAGTAACAATGGCAAAGCAGAGTATCAAAAAGCGTATAGGGAACGCGAAAAAGCTAAAAAAAATGAAAATAAGCAAGAAAGGTACGATATAAAGCAAAGATATCCTCTAAACTAGTGACAATATTTAAAAAGTTTATTGATTATTTTTTTAAATAATTAAAACAAATTCTCCCTTCAATTTCAAACATTTAAATATATATATATATTTTGATAATTCTACCTATTTTACGTAATTTATTATGTCCTAAAATACTGAATTTCCTAAATATTTTCCTGTACTTAAATAAAAACTAATCAGCAAAATTTAAGAGAAAAATCAAGAAAACCTACATAAAATTGAGCACGTTTTTTTTTTTGCAAATTGTGTCGATTCTACATTAGCCGAAGGAACTTCGTTCCTACCTGGTGTCCCACGACACCACATTTCTTTTTCATTCCATTAATATAGGAAATGAAAGAAATAAAAATAAACGGTGTGATACTGTATAACGTGTTGCATAATTTTGATCTGTCACTAATTTACCACCAACATCAAGCAACCAAAGTACCAACATTTTGAGGTTATGTCTTATGGCACTCCACACGTTTCATCGACACGGGCTATAGCCCGTGTCGATGGAACGTGTATATATATAGAATATTCGGTTTTAAAATCAACTTTTTAAGATATCTCAAAAATTGCATATTTCGTTTTGTTGATGAAATGGTAGGAATTTTCAAAGAAATAAAACCAAAAACAACTTCTGGAGGTCTAATTCACTAAAGAATCTCTGGTAATTTTTGAAAGTGCCCGTAAAAAAAGATCGAAGATTTTATGAGGATAGGTTATTAAAAAAATTCTGGGATATAAATCTCGACGAGTTGAATCGATAGTAAGCTGATTTTCAAAATATTTGGTTACAAAGCCAATTTTTAAAATAAGTACGTATATCAAAAAATGTTCAAAGAAATAAAATCGAAAACGACTTCTGGAGGTCTAAATCCACTGAAGAATCGAAAAATTAAAAAAAATCAGAATTTTTTTTTTTTCAAAAATCTGGATGCCTAGGGTAAAAATTCAACACGGATTCATAAGCCACAAGCAGAGGATTATGTCATTTTTACACTATTTTAATAATGTTTAGTATTGTAAAATTTGATTAGACAAGACTGATTTTTACAGTTTCGTCAAAATATAGCAAATAATATAACAAAAAAAATCGATTATGACAGGCGGCCCACAACATACCTTCAGCACAGAATAATCATTTCTCGTATTCTTTTGACATATTCATTTTAATATTCGAGATAATTATTATATTATTCAAACACAATTTACACACTGTAGAGCAAACAAAGCTTATCAAGCCCGTCTATTAGTTTATTCGCCTAATTTATGTATTATTAATAGCGTTTTCTTGTTATTTAAATAAAGGAACAAATTAAGTGCACAGTTCAATTTTTAAACATTCTGTATTTTTGCTCCGTAAAAATGATAAATGCTAAGTTATATAATAAATGCTCAGTTAAAAAATAAATTCTCAGTAAAAATAATAATAGCTGCTTAGTTAAATTAATAACTGTTCGGTTAAATAAGGAACGCTTAGTAAGAACCCTACGTGCTAAGTATAAAAATTGCTCTAAAGAGTTTCGACAGTACTTCCCTCGCTGTCGGAAACGTGACGACTGCATGCCTATTATGTTTTTTTTCGCAGTGGATTTCAAAGAATTCGGTTTTGTAGTTCCTGAGTAAATCAATAAAATAAATTTACGCATTCATTAATTTTTTTGAGTCACCCTGTATATGCAAATCCAAAAAATATGAATGGAATGATAGATCACAAGTACAGACTCATCATATTTTGTACATTTTAGATATGATTTATTCCACAAACTTTTGAGCTGACGTCATCAAGTTTTTGGAGGGGATAAGCAAATATTTTTTGACTAAAGATTTATGATGCTTTTTATAGCCTTAAAACATCTGCAACATTTCAAAGCATTCTGGTTAGCAGATTAAAAATTAAATTTCAAAATGTTGTTTTATAATTTTGATTTTTTTTCCAAAAATCTAGACGTTTCGGGTGAAAAGTCAATTCAGAGTTGTAAACTACATGTGTAGGACTATGTTATATTATACAATTGAAAACCCATTTACTATGTACAATTTTGAAGTGACGTCATCGCATTAGTGGTGGGGATGATTAGACAAATTTTGGTTAGCGTTTTACCATCTACATGATATTCTTAATATAAGTGCAAAATTTCACAACAATCGATCGAGTACTTTCGGAGATTATCTGTCTAATAAAAATCCGGGACGGCAGACGGACAGACGGACAGACGGACAGACGGACAGACAGACGGAAATGGGAGACCTATTTCTTCGTCTTCTAGGGGTCATGAAAGATCGAGAAAACGTAAAAGTAGAGAGTCGGCCGACGGACTCGATTACAATACTTCCTTTGCTTACGCTCGGGAAGTAAAAATCAAAATTGAAACATTGAAAAATCGGAAATCAAAAATTTTAAAAATTGGAGATTGAAAAACGAAGAAATCGAAAATTCGAAACGTCGAAATTGAAAAATCATAAAGTTAAAAAATCGAAAAATTAAACAACCGCAAAACTGAAATATCGGAAAATTGAAAAATAGATAAGTCGAAAAACCGACAAATATAAGTAAAAAAATTGGTCTAAAGAGGTTAGACAGTACTTCCCTCGCTGTCGGAAACTTGACGACTGCATGCCTATTGTGTTTTTTTTTCTCATTACATTTTTGTAGTGGGAATTTAAAAAAAAATTGCGATGACGTCATCAACATTTTTGCAAGGACACGTATATCAGTTGGGATAGATGTAGTGTAATACTAAGAATAAAATTATTATATTCTCAAATTTTCGGGAAAATGAATTGGGTCGTTTTGAATATTGATTTGTAATAATCAATAAAATAACGAAACAATTTACTCACGAATACGTATCAGAGGCAACTGAAAATCGTGTATGTATAAACATTCTTAATTTAAGATGACAGGCGTAACAGCATACGTGAGAGTCAAACAGAGAAACTGTAAACAAAACGACAATCGGTTTTATTGCGTCGACTTCCGCTTATTATATAAAACATTGGATTTTATTTTAATTTTTGACGGTGGAATTCACAATTGGTTGATTTAAAACATGTCTATACCACATTCGCGAAACCTAGTCAGCTATGTTTCAACCGAGTTTTAACTTTAAAAAATTTTGTGTCTACCAAATTGGGTTGGTCCAATGTAATACTAATAATAAGTATCGCCTTTAATTTGATCAATAAAATAAATTGACCTCAATAATTTTTTTGAGCCACCCTTTAAGAAAATCTAAAAAATATGAATGGAATGATAAATCACAAGTACAAACTCATCATATTTTCTGCATTTTAGATAGGATTTATTTAGCAAAATTTAAGGGTCACGTCACCAATTTTTTTAGGAGGGATGAACAAATACATTTTGAACAAAAGTTTACCATGCTTATAATAACTTTAAAATATCTCCAAGATTTCAAAGCATTCGGTTTTGTAATTCCTGATTAAATCGATCAAATAAATTCACGCATTCATTAATTTTTTTGAGTCAGCCTGTATATGCAAATCCAAAAATATGAATGGAATGATAAACCACAAGTACAGACTCATCATATTTTGTACATTTTAGATAGGATTTATTCAGCAAACTTTTGGGGTGACGTCATCAATTTTTTAGGAGGGATGAGCAAATACATTTTGATAAAAAAATTACCATGCTTATAATAACTTTAAAACATCTCCAAGATTTCAAAGCATTCGGTTCTGTAAATCCTGATTAAATCAATAAAATCAATTGACGCATTCAATAATTTTTTTCAGTCACCCTATATATGCAAATCGAAAAAATATGAACGGAGTGATAAATCACAAGTACAGACTCATCATATTTTTCACATTTTAGATAGGATTTATTCACCAAATTTTAGGGTGACTTCATCGATTTTTTTAGGGGGGAAGAGCAAATACATTTTGATAAAAAAATTACCATGTTTATGGTAACTTTAAAACATCTCCAAGATTTCAAAGCATTCGATTATGTAATTCCTGATTAAATCAATAAAATAAATTGACGCATTCATTAATTTTTTTCAGTCACCCTGTATATGCAAATCGAAAAAATTTGAATGGAATGATAAATCACAAGAAGAGACTCACCATATTTTGTACATTTTAGATAGGAATTATTCGGCAAAATTTTGTGGTGACGTCATAAATTTTTTAGGAGGGACGACCAAATACAATTTGATAAAAAATTTACCATGCTTATGATAACTTTAAAACATCTTCAAGATTTCGAAGCATTCGGTTTTGTAGTTAATGAGTAAATCAGTAAAATAAATTTTGCGCATTCATTAATTTTTTTGAGTCACCCTGTATATGCAAATCCAAAAAATATGAATGGAGTGATATATCACAAGCACAGACGCATCATATTTTGTACATTTTATATAGGATTTATTTGGCAAACTTTTGAGCTGACGTCATCAAGTTTTTGGAGGGGATAAGCAAATATATTTTGACTAAACATTTATTATGCTCTTTAGAGCCTTAAAACATCTGCAACATTTCAAAACATTCGGGTTAGCAGATTCAAAATTAAATTGCAAAATGTTGTTTTATAATTTTGATTTTTTTTCCAAAAATCTGGACGTTTCGGGTAAAAACTGAATTCGGAGTCGTAAACTACATGTGTAGGACTATGTTATTTTATACAATTTAAGACCTATTTACCTATCTATATTGACTGTTCTGTGCTATTTACTATGTACAATTTTGAAGTGACGTCATCGCATTAGTGGTGGGGATGATTAGACAAATTTTGGTTAGCGTTTTACCATCTACATGATATTCCTAATATAAGTACAAAATTTCACAACAATCGGTCCAGTACTTTCGGAGATTATCTGTCTAATAAAAATCCGGGACGGCAGACGGACAGACGGACGGACAGACGGACGGACAGACGGACAGACGGACGGACAGACGGACGGACAGACAGACGGAAATGGGAGACCTATTTCTTCGTCTTCTAGGGGTCATGAAAGATCGAGAAAACGTAAAAGTAGAGAGTCGGCCGACGGACTCGATTACAATACTTCCTTTGCTTACGCTCGGGAAGTAAAAAGTCGCGAGAACAAGAAACAAAAATAAAAAAAAAATCAAAGTTTGATTTTTCATCCAAATGTCCGGATGTTCACAGTTTAAATAACATATTATTAGTTTTGTAAAATTTGGACATGACGTCATCTCATACGATATTCCTAAAAATTTTCAAAATTCGACAACATTCGATCTGGTAATTTAGAGAGATAGACGGAAACGAGAAACTTAATTTTTTGAGCTCTAAGGGTCACGAAGCATAAGAAAACAGAAGAATAGTCATTAGCCTGAAGACCTCGAATTGAAGCTTAAAATGACAATTGACCTGTATAAGGTGTTGCCTAATCTTGACCTATTCATGAATTTACTACCAACATGAAACAACTAAAGTTAAAAGTACCTGAAGGGACCAACGTTTTGAGGTTATGTCTAAACAATGTGAACTGTTTATATTTTAATCTCCAGGTTCGTAATACAAGATTCGTTTTTATAATAATCTTTTAACGTAACAATACGACACGAATTTCAGACTAGACGAATTGGTAACTTTGCAATATTCCGAATCCGTCACCGCCCCCAAGAAGCCCTCTCTGGTCAACGTCCATGACTGTAAAATTTGCCCATACGTTACAACGTCGTTTTTCCTGATGATGAACCACATCCGCCGTCATCAGTCGCCTTTGGTACCTTTTAACTGCGTAAACCCCCTTGATTCTTACCATTGCAAACACTGCAGTTTTCAAACTGAACTAACGCTGCTTTTCAAGCAACATATTAGAAAACACCATGGAATTAAACACGAAAACGACGATTTAATTGTACAACACAATAATCAAAAATACGTTTGTGGAAAGTGCGGATTTGAGACGCATTTTTTGCTTAAATGTTTATGTCACATTCAAGAGTGTCAACAGTCTAAAGAACAATCAAATTCGAAAAGGAATATTAACGCACGATATGTAGACGATCTTGACGCCAAATGGTACAAATGTAAACAGTGCTCGTTTAGATGTAAACGCAACTCATCTTTGTTGGGACACGTGAACCTTTGTCATTTGAACGAAGAGAACGACAAGTCGAATGAATGCCAGCAGGGTCCGGACAAGACTAGAGATTGTTCGAACTTAAGGAGTGACGGGAGAAGCCAGCATTTGGATGGGAAAAGTATCACGTGGTATCGGTGCAATGAGTGTCCAGTTAAAACAAGAGACAAGAGGGTTTTGCAGAAACACGTGAAAGCGCGACATTCCAACGGACACAGAGGCATTAAATGCTACAATTGTGAGAAATGCCAATTCAAAACCAAATACCGGTACGTTTTAAATAGACACATAAATGCGCGGCATTTGGACGAAAGCGAAATAGAGTGGCACCAATGCAACGAGTGTCCTTTCAAAAGCAAAGACAAAGACGGTTTGAAAAAACACATTAACGCACGGCATCTGGACGACCAAAACGTGAAGTGGTATGAATGTAAACAGTGCTCATTTAGATGTAAACACTACGACTCCTTGATGAGACATGTGAACGCCTGTCATTTAGACGAAAAGGACGGCAAGTGGTATGAATGTAAACAGTGTCCTTACAAGGCTAGAAATTGTTGGTCGCTAACGAAACACGTGAAATCCCAGCATTTGGAAGGACATGACATAAAATGGTATGAATGTGAAAAGTGCCAATACAAAGCCAAACACCCTCAGTCTTTAAAGAAACATATAAATCGGCGGCATTTGGACGAGGACGAAATAAAGTGGCACCAATGCACTTTATGTCCTTTCAAGAGTAAAGAGAGAAACGGTTTGAAAAGACACATTAACGCACGGCATCTGGACGACCAAGACGCGAAGTGGTATGAATGTACACAGTGTCCATTCAAGACTAGAGATTGTTCGGCCGTAAAGAAGCACATGCAATCCGAGCATTTGGAAGGATATGGTGTTAAATGGTATGATTGTCAAAAGTGCCAATTCAAAACCAAATACCCCCAGTCTTTAAAGCATCATATAAATCGCTGGCATTTGGACAAGAATGAAATTAAGTGGTACCGCTGCAGTGAGTGTGCGTTCAGGAGCAAAAACAAAAGCGGTTTGAAAAAACACATTAACGCACGGCATGTGGCTGACCAAGACGCGAAATGGTACGAATGCACACATTGCCCTTTCAGAACTAAGAATTCTTCAAATTTAAACGAGCACATAAAAAGGCGCCACTCAAATGCGAAAAGTGACAACGTCATAGCAGACAAAAATCGAGTTTAATTGTGAAGTTTAAACAAAAAGTACAGTAGTGGTGAATGACTTTTCTCGTTCCATTAATATAGAAAATAAAAGAATTAAAAATTAAACGACTTGTAACTGTATAACGTGTTGCATAATTTTGAACTGTCACAAATTTTCTGCCAACGGTAAGCAACCAAAGTACCAACATTTTGAGGTTATGTTTCGAAAAATTTAATTTCATATCCAGCATTTTCGAGTTCAATTTTTACTTTATGTACACAATTTTGTGATGAAATCATCAACATTTTGCAAGGACACGTAAATCAATGTGGATTAGACTAAAAATAACAGTATTCCAAAAATTTCTGGGAAAATGGAGTGAGTCGAGACTGATTGAATCAACAGAATAAATTGACTCATTCATTAATTTTTTTGAGCCACCTAGGTATATAAGCAAATCTAAAAAAATATTAATGCAATGATAAATTACAAGTAAAAACTCATCATATTTTGCACATTTTTAGTAGAATTTATTCAGCAAAATCTTGAGATGACGTTATCAATTTTTTAGTAGCATAATCCTGAACTTGTGGTTTATAAATGCAATTTTTCAGTATTTTCATTTTTGACATTTTCAATTTTTCCATTTTTCAAATTTTCGATGTCTCCATTTTTTTATTTTTCGATTTCTCGATTGTCCGATGTTTCACTGATACGATTTCGCAATTTTTCAACTTTTCGATATTTTAATTTTTCAATTTTTAAAATTCTAGATTTTTCGATTTCTCGAGTTTTCGGTTCTTCTATGCATATTTCAGTTTTTCATTTTTCGGAATTCATTAAATTTCTGATTTTCCATTTTTTTTAATTTTTCGATTTTCCAGTTTTTCGATGTTTCGATTTTTCAATTATACGATTTGTTCAATTTCTCGATTTCTAAATTTTAGATTTTTTAATTTTATTTTTTTTTTTCATGTTTGGACTATTTATTATTGCTAAAAATAAAAGTAAAAAATAACTACCAAAATTGTGACTAAAAATATGTAAAAATTAATAGAAAATAGAACACATTGCTGCTAAAACATAAAAATAATTGTACTTTCCCAAAAAAATCTATTGCATGATTACTGTTCCACTAGTATTGCTAATTTAGGACGTTAGTATCAAACGCAGTGAAAGTATTAATTCTTAGTTAAACAAAAAAATAGTTGAGTGTCAAAATCGAGTGAAACATGTGAGACGTGTGTAAACAAAAGCATCTAAATAATAACTATTTCCCGCAGAATTTTTGGAGGCTTATAGAGTCGACATTGGCCTGAGCGCGCTCCGGTCTGTGGATCATACAAGTTCTCGGGCGACGATGTATCTAACGACGCAATTGAAGTACCTGATATGTCACAGCGCAAAAAGTATTTCTCAAAAAACTTTCAAACGTTGAAGTCTTTTTAATCGAACAAAACACAATTGGCGAATAATTTTTTCAAAGAAAATATTTTAGTAGAATATATAAAGTTATAAAAATTTGCATACTTTTAAATCAAATTATGTCAGCAATGAAAGAAGTCGACTTGTAAAAGAGTTTCACCAATATTGGTCAGCTAAGAGTATTTATGAGTTTTATGACCTAAAGTATCTGGACTGATTACCTGAAAGGGTCGGTCGGCAAGGCTCCCTCCTGTGTAAAACTCAGCCATTCATTGAAACGGAAAACTTTGTAAATAGGGTTGCCTGGTTTCACTTTATTTTCATTAGTCAGTATTTTTTTAAAAAACTAATATTTTGATAAATATAAATTTTAAACAAAAATGACCGGGTCTTCCCCATAGAGCTCAATGTTGTCTTTGCACTGATATAAAAGTTGAAGCGAAAAATGCTCTCTCCTCGTCTAAAAATGCAAATTCCTTCGAAGAATGAACAATGAACGATTAATTAAACACTAAACAATCACTTATTTTAAAAAATATTGTGTCTTCCCCAGAGATTTAGACATAATCTATCGATTGAAATGTCGATCTTTTTTTCAAAATTGAAATTACGCCCGTAAAATGAAAATCTATGTAGCTCATTTTTCGATCTGCTACTGGCTACTGGGCACCCTTAAGTCTAAAACATGTTTTCAACTATGACATGTTTAAAAGAGGAAATGGAATTTATTAATTTATGCAGTTACACAATTTTCGGAAAAAATGGAGTGAGTCGTCTTGAATCTTGATTAATAATAATCAATAAAATAAGGAAACAATTTAATCACGTCGTCGTCTAAATTCAATCAAAATGATTGTAAATTACTCATGAAAGAAAACTGGTGAAAACATAACCTCAAAATGTTGGTACTTTCGTTGTTTGACGTTGGTAGTAAATCAGCAACAGGTCAAATTATGCAACACGTTATACAGTTTCAATTTTTATTTCTTTCATTTTCTGTATTAATGGAATAAAAAATGTCTTAAAGTCTAAATGGATATTCACCACCACTACACGCTTTGTTTAAACTTCACATGTTCCGTCAAACTCGCTTTTCGTCTTCTATTAGATGGTCACTTTCCGCTTTCACGTGCTGCTTTTTTATGTGCAACTTCAAATTCGAACGATGCTTAGTTTTGTGTGGACAATGAGTGCATTGGTACCATTCTGGCTCCTGTTTATTCAGGTGCTGCGTTTTCATGTGCAACTTTAAATTCGAACAATGCTTGGTTTTGTGTGGACAATGTTTGCATTTGTACCACTTCGCGTCCTGATCGTCCAGATGCCGTGCGTTAACGTGTTTTTTCAAACCGTCTTTGCTTTTGCTCCTGAATGGACACTCACTGCAGCGGTGCCAGTTGATTTCACTCTTGTCCAAATGCCAGCGATTTATATGATCCTTTAAAGACGGGGTGTATTTGGTTTTGAATTGGCACTTGTCACAATTATACCATCTGATGTGATACTGATCCAAATGCTGGCTTATCACGTGACTCTTTAAGTTCGAATGGTCTCTGTTCTTGTACGAGCACTGCTGACATTTGTACCACTTGCAGTTCTTTTCGTCCCCATGACAAATGTTCATGTGTTTCGTCAAGGACCTCTTGTATCTATATTTACGAGAGCACTGTTTGCATGCGTACCATTTCGCGTCTTGGTCGTCCAGATGCCGTGTGTTAATGTGACCTTTCAACCCGTCTTTGGTTTTGGACTTGAAATGACACTGAGTGCAGGGGTGCCACTCTATTTCGCCTTCGTCCGAATGCGCGGATTTCACGTGCTTGGTTAGGGTCGAACAATCTCTAGCCTTGTAAGGACACTGTTGACATTCGTACCACTTGCCGTCCTTTTCGTCGAAATGCCGTGTGTTGATGTGTCTTTTCAGATTGCCTTTGCTTTTAGCCTTGTAAGGACACTGAGTGCAGGGGTGCCACTCTATTTCGTCTTCGGCCAAATGCCGCCGATTTATATGTTCCTTTAATTTATACCGGGACGTGGTTTTGTATTCACATTTTTCACAATTGTGCTGTTTAATGTAGCGTCGGTTCAAATGCCGTGCATCCACGTGTTTCTGTAAAACCCTCTCATATGTTGTTTTAAACGGACACTCCTTGCACTTATACCACGTGATATATTTTTCATTCGAATGATAGATTATCACGTGCGTTTTCATGTTCGAACTATCTCTAGTCTTATAAGAACACTGTTGGCATTCGTACCATTTGCAAACAATCACGTGTCGTCTCAAAGATTGCCTGTATTTAGATCGAAATGAGCACTGTTCACATTTGTACCATTTCGCAACAAGATCGTCTATATGTCGTGCGTTAATGTGCCTTTCCAAACCGTCTTTTTTTCTACACTTGAAGGTACATTCAGCGCAATGAAACCACCTGCTTTTGTCCTCAACTGAAAGCTGCTGCTTCGAATTCGGTTGTTCTTTCGTTTTATATCGATTTTGTTGACACTCTAGCATGTGACATAACCATTTAAGCGAAAAATGCGTCTCAAAACCGCACTTTTCACAAACGTACTTTTGATTATTGTGTTGTACAATTAAATCGTTGTTTTCTTGTTTGATTCCATGACGGTCTTTAATGTGTCGCTTCAAAAGCAACGTTAGTTCGGTTTGAAAATTGCAGTGTTTGCAATGGTAAGAATCAAGGGGGTTTTCACAGTTAAAAGATGCCAAGGGAGACTGATGGCGGCGAGTGTGGTTCATCATCGGAAAAAACGACGTTGTAACGTATGGGCAAATTTTACAGTCGTGGACTTTTACCAGGGAAGACTTCTTTTCAAATTTTCCGTTTCAACCAGTCTGAAATTCATGCAGTATTGTTACGTCAAAAGTTTGTTATAAAAACGAATCTTGTGTAACGTACCTGTAAATTAAATTGCAAATCTTACAAATTGTTTTCGACATAACCTAAAAATGTTGATACTTTTACTTTAGTTGTTTTATGTTGGTAGTAAATTCGTTAAACAGACCAAGATTATGCAACACGTTATACAAGTTTGTATTTGTAGGTTCGAATGGAGTCCATCGGGTAAATGACTATTTTCATGTTTTTATATTTCGTGATCCAGGCATATTTATTAGGAATGTCGTATGAGATGACGTCATGTCCAAATTTTACAATAGTAAATGTCATTTTTCCAATTTCTACTAATAAAATGATCATTTCGTATGTTAAATCTCGCTATTAAAACAATAGTTTAATCGTAAGGATGAATAAAATGTTTATATAATCTCTCGGCTTCGCCTCGTGTGCTAAACTGTTTTTTCGTTGGATAAAATTCACTTTTATTCACTTATACCATAAATAGCTATTAAATTGTATAAAATGACATACTTCTCTGCTCGTGGTTTATGAATCCGTGTTGAAGTTTTACCCAAGGCATGCAATTTTTTTCTTATTTTCTAGATTTTCAAATAGTGTTTCCATCTGGTGCACCCCATAATTGCAAAATGAATATTTCCTTGCAAAATGTACCATTTTGACAATGTTTTAAGTTTATTGTTGTGAAAAGATCAAAAACTTTAAAAATCGAAAAATCAAAACACCCAAAAATTGAAATATTAAAAAACCAAAATATTAAAATATCTCAAAAATTGAACATCCAGAAATTGAAAAGTTCTCAATATTCAAATCCTTAAAAAATGAGTATTGAAAACTCGAAAAATTGAGAAATCCAAGCATCAAAAAATAGTAAAATTAAAAAATGTAAAATTTAAAAACTCCAAAAATTGAGAAATAAAAGAAAAGAAAAATCAAAAATTAAAAAATTCGAAAAATTGAAAAATTATAATATCGAAAAATTGAAGAATTGGGAAATCGAAACACCAAAAAAAATCAAAAAAACAAAAATCTAAAATTCAAAAATCAAAAAATTGAACACTCGAAAAGCCAAAAAGTCGAAAAATCGAAACATCGGAATGTTCAAAAACTGAAACATTGAGAAATCAAAACATCAACAGTAGAGGAGTCAAAAAATCAAAAAATTAAGAAATCAAATTAGACCAAAATTGAAAAATCGAAAACTTAATAATTCAAAAATTGAAACATTATAAATGAAAAAAAATCGGTAAACCGAAAAATTGAAAAATCTAAAAATCGAGAAATTGAACGATCTAAAAATTAAATAATTTAAAAATCGAAGAATTGGAAAACCGAGAACTTGAAAAATCGAATAATCAACAAATCAAAACTTCAAGGAAACCAAAAAAATTAACGGAAAATCTAGAACTTAAAAATTGAAAAATTAAAATACCTATCGAAAAATTGAAAAACCGAGAAATCGAAACACCAAAAAATGGAAAAATTGAAGAACCGAAACATTGCAAAATCCCAGAACTGAAATACTGAAAAACTGAAAAATGGAAGGAAAATTGAAAAATCGAAAAAGTGAAAAAATTCAAAACTGAAATCTTGAAAAACTGAAAAATGGAAAGAAAATCGAAGAATCGGAAAAGTTAAAAAATGCAAAACTGAAACATTGAAAAATTCAGAAATCGAGAAATTGAAAAATCACAATTGAAGCAAGAATTGAAAAATCGAGAAACAGAGAAATGGGAACATAAAAAAATCAGTTAATCGAAAAATTGAGAAATCGAAAAATTTAGAAACGTCAAAAATTGAAAACTGAAAAATAAAAAAAATTAAAAATCGCAAAACTGAAACATCGGAAAATTGAGAAATCGAAAAATTAAGAAATTCGAGAAACCGAAAATATGAAGAATCGAGAAATCGAAGAATCGATAAATTGAAAAATCCCAGCAGTAATATATCGAAAAATTGAGAAATCGAAATCGAGCAAAACTGAAATATCGTAAAGTTAATAAATTGAAAAGCTGAAAATTCAAAAAATCGAGAAATTGAACAATAAAAAAATCAAAATATTGAAACCCCGTAAGTAATATAGGAAAATTTAAAAAACAAAAATTTTAAAAATCCAAGAATTGAACAACAAAAAAAATCCAAGCCTGAAAACTCAGAAAATCGAATAATCCAGAACTCAAAACATCAAAGAAAACGAAAAATCTAAAATTTAAAAATTCGACAAATTGAAAAATCATGGAACTGAAAAATCGAAAAGTCGAGATAGTGAGAAATCTAAAAACCTAAAACTTTAAAAACTGAAAAATTAAAATATCGAAAAATTTAAAAACCGAGAAAACACAATATCAAAAATTTGAAAAATTGAAGAAACGAAATATTGCAAAATTCCAAAGCTGAAATATTGAAAAACCTAAAATTGGAAGGAAAATTAAAGAATCGAAACAGTGAAAAAATCCCAAACGGAAACATTGAAAAATTGAGAAATGGAGAAATGGGAAAATCAAAAAAATCGGTCTAAAGAGTTTAGACAGTACTTCCCTCGCTATCGGAAACGTGACGACTGCATGCCTATTATGTTTTTTTTCACATTAGATTTCGGTTTTGTAGTTCCTGATTAAATCAATAAAATAAATTTGCGCATCCATTAAATTTTTTGAGTCACACTGTATATCCGAATCCAAAAAATATGAATGGAATGATAAATTACAAGAAGAGACTCATCATATTTTGTACATTTTAGACAGGATTTATTCAGCAAAATTTTGAGGTGACGTCATGAATTTTTTACAGGGGATAAGTAAATATATTGTGATTAAAACGGTCCTGGTTTAATAACAAAAAAATATTGTTCGTCTATGAAACAAGCTCGTCTTAGACAAAGTATTCGTAAAAAAAATATGTCGTAAAAAAATTTACGTATGCTGGTCCCGACTGCGATTATGGTTTAAATATTTGTTAGATGATCCTGACATGGATGTAGAAACATTTGTGACAGCCAAAGAAGTTTTTTTGAGAAAATTATCTTTGAATTTAGACCAAATTGAAATAGACACTAGGCAACAGGCACATTTGGGCAAAAGAAAGAGAAATTAGGGTTACGGCTTCAAGTTTTGGACGTATTTAAAAACTTAGACCGACTACAACAACAGCTAAAACTGCGGAGTTTCTGTTGTACAGTACATTTAGAGATAATAGTCATACATACTATGGACAACAAAGTGAGGAAAAATCTGTCAAGTGTTTTGAAATAAATAAAAATATAAAAACTGAACGGTGTGTCTTTATTTCAAAACAATTTCCTTACTTGGCTGCTAGTCCAGACAGGGTTCTAGAGGATAGGAGTGCATTAGTCGAAATTAAATGCCCTTCAAAATCGCAAGATTTGTCTCTCGAAGAAGCGGCTAGAAAAAAAATAATCAAATTTTGTACATTGACAGACAGAGAATTGAAAGTAAAAAAAATCATGATTACTACTTTCAAGTCCAATGCTTGTTACGGGTATTTCACAAGTTTATTTTGTTGTGTGGACACCCAAAGGAATTAATATAGAAAAAAAAACGAAGAAATATGTAAAAAGATGGTAGATAAACTTGGCAGATTTTACTTTGGAGCATTATTGCCCGAAATAATTGATTTAAGAAGAAAGAGGAACCTGCATTTGCGAGAGATTTTTTTTAAATAAATAAAATTTGTTTCTATTTTTTTATTCACTTTAATAATTTATTAGGAGTACATTTTTCATCACCGAGACTTGCATATTTTTATTATAAATATATTTTGAAAATGATCTCTCGGCAAATGAAAACATATACGAGCACTTTTTTCGAGTAAACAATGAAGGGAGAAGTTACTGGGCGTAGGGCTTTTTTAAAACACCTCCTTTCTGGGATAAGTAGTGGATACACTTAGCTACTTATACGTGTTAAACAAAAGCTGTATTTTATATATTTTTTATTATTATTATAGATATGTTTATTAGTTTTATTAATTAACAAAGTAAAATATATATTAACAATAATATTACAATGAATTTTTATTAATCATGTGTATTGAATTCAGGATCCTGAGTGGAGTAAAAATATTATAGTTCCCCAGTTTTAATTCGGTTTTATGATAGTACCTCATTGCCTAAAAGTTAATTTCCTTAACAATAGATTACTACGGCCGGTCCTGGCGGCTTGTTATAAAACGGAGTTCCTTGCCATAAATTAGAAAAATCAGCCGAGAACTCTAACAATCAGCTTATGGTAGAGCAGGCGATAAGGGTTTTACCTGGAAGGTCGCTTCCGTAAATTTTAGCGGCGCTCCTATCGGCAAACTACTGAAGTAACCTAATTTTTCAGACTCCAAGGGTCACGAAACATAAAAAAACATGAAAATAGTCATTTACGCGATGGACTAAGAATCCTTCAAATTTAAAGCGCCACATAAAAAATCATCATTCGAATGTGAACAGTAAAAATTTAATAACAGACAAAAATCGAGTTTGACGCTACTTGTGAAGTTTAAACAAAATATATTGTGAATAATTATAATTAAACGGCAAGAAGCTGTATAACGTGTTGCATACTTTTAATCCGTCACAAATATACCACCAACATTAAGCATCCAAAGTACCAATATTTTGAGGTTACGTTTTGACAATTTGATTTCAGAGTTACTTTTAATTTAACTAAAAATAAAAGAGGTAAAACATACAAGATTAGTTTTAATAATAATCTTGAAAAATCGAAAAATGGAAACCGCGTAAGATCGAACATTCAAAAAATGAAAAGTTAAAAACAAAAAATTTTGATATTTAAATAATAAAATAAATAAAATCGAAGAATTGAAAAATCTAATATAAAAAAATTGGGAAGTCGAGACTTTTAAAAATCTAAACTGTAAAAAGTCGAAAAATTGAAACAGCGAGAAAGCGAAAAGTCGATAAACCGAGAAATTGGGGAATCGAAAAATTCAAAGCAGCTTAAAATCTAAAAAGCGATAAATCGGAAAATTAGAAATTAAAAAAGTTGAAAAGTATACAATTTGAAAAGATCGAAACACCAAAAAACTGAATTAGATTGAAAAATTGAAGAATTGCAAAACCAGAATGTCAAAAATTTTTAAAATGAAAAAATGTAGAACTAGAACTAAAAAAATCGATACATCACAAAAACGAAAGCTTGAAAAATTTAGAATTCAAAAAATCCAAAAATTGAGGAACTCAAAGATCGAGAGAGAAATTACCAAAATTTAAAAAAAAACAAAAAAAAAAGAAAAATCGATAAGGCGAAAAACCGAGAAATTGGAAAATTGAAAATTCGAGAAATCGAAATTTAAAAAAATAGAAGTAGCCCAAAATCTGAAGAGCGAAAACGCGGCAAATTAGGAACAAAAAAATTGAAAAATTTAAAATTAAAAAAAACCGAATCACCGAAAAATCGAATTAGATTGAAAAATTGAAGAATCGAAAAATCGAAATGTCAAAAAATTAAAACACGGACAAATTAAAAAATTTAAAAATTGAAACATTAAAAAATAGAAAATCAAAAATATTAAAAATCGCAAAATGGAAAACCAACATTTCGAAAAATCGAAAATCAAAACATTTGCATTATCGAAACATCACAAAAACTAGAGTTTGAAAATGTAGAATTTAAAATATCGAAAAATTGAAGAACTAAAAGATCGAAAAATTAAAGAAATTAAAAAAAGAAAATTCGAGAAATTGATCCAAATTTTAAATGTTGAAAAATTGAGAAAGGGAGAAGGCGAAAAGCCGAGAAATCGAAACATTAAAATATTTTAAAAAGTGAAAAACTGGAAAATTGGTAGTTAAAAAAGTTGAAAAATTTAAAATTTAAAAAATCGAAAAACCGAATTAGATTTAAAAATTCTAAAAATGGAAAAATGGAAATGTCAAAAAATTAAGAAATCGGAAAAATAAAAAAAATCAAAAATTGAAAAAAAAAAATAAACTACCACCAACACTCTATATTTTTGGAATCAACACGTCGAGATCTACGTCCCTGAATTTTTTCAGAATTTTTTGACAACTTTTTGAAAAGTGAAATTTTTCCAATGGTCCCCCCTTCTTCACACTTCGGCCAAATTTTGACATTTTCGAAACTCAACTAAACTCAAATTAAAAAATTGAAGAATCGGAAAATGTCAAAAAATTATGAAACCGGGAAATAAGAAAAAATCAAAATTGAAACATTGAAAAATCGTAAATCAAAAATTTTAAAAATCGAAGAATGAAAAACGAAGAAATCGAAAATTCGAAACGTCGAAATTGAAAAATCATAAAGTTAAAAAATCGAAAAATTAAACAACCGCAAAACTGAAATATCGGAAAATTGAAAAATAGATAAGTCGAAAAACCGACAAATATAAGTAAAAAAAGTCGCGAGAACAAGAAACAAAAAAGTTTGATTTTTCATCCAAATATCCGGATGTCCACAGTTTAAATAACATATTATTAGTTTTGTAAAATTTGGACATGACGTCATCTCATACGATATTCCTAAAAATTTTCAAAATTCGACAACATTCGATCTGGTAATTTAGAGAGATAGACGGAAACGAGAAACTTAATTTTTTGAGCTCTAAGGGTCACGAAGCATAAAAAAAACAGAAGAATAGTAATTACCGTGAAGACCTCGAATTGAAGCTTAAAATGACAATTGACCTGTATAAGGTGTTGCCTAATCTTGACCTATTCACAGCATAGATAACAATTGTTATCTCTACTGTGACCTATTCATGAATTTACTACCAACATGAAACAACTAAAGTTAAAAGTACCTGAAGGGACCAACGTTTTGAGGTTATGTCTAAACAATGTGAACTGTTTATATTTTAATCTCCAGGTTCGTAATACAAGATTCGTTTTTATAATAATCTTTTAACGTAACAATACGACACGAATTTCAGACTAGACGAATTGGTAACTTTGCAATATTCCGAATCCGTCACCGCCCCCATGGAGCCCCCTCTGGTCAACGTCCATGACTGTAAAATTTGCCCGTACGTTACAACGTCGTTTTTCCTGATGATGAACCACATTCGCCGTCATCAGTCGCCTTTGGTACCTTTTAACTGCGAAAACCCCCTTGATTCTTACCATTGCAAACACTGCAGTTTTCAAACGGAACTAACGCTGCTTTTCAAGCAACATATTAGAAAACACCATGGAATTAAACACGAAAACGACGATTTAATTGTACAACACAATAATCAAAAATACGTTTGTGAAAAGTGCGGCTTTGAGACGCATTTTACGCTTAAATGGTTATGTCACATTCGAGAGTGTCAACAATCTAAAGGACAACCAAATTCGAAAAGGAATATTAACGCACGACATGTAGACGACCTTGACGCCAAATGGTATAAATGTAAACAGTGCTCATTTAGATGTAAACGCAAATCATCTTTGTTGGGACACATGAAGATTTGTCATTTGAAAGAAGAGAATGACAAGTGGAACGAATGCCAACAGGGTCCGGACAAGACTAGAGATTGTTCAAACTTAAGGAGTGACGGGAGAAGCCAGCATTTGGATGGGAAAAGTATCACGTGGTATCAGTGCAACGAGTGTCCAGTTAAAACAAGAGACAAGAGGGTTTTGCAGAAACACGTGAAAGCGCGACATTCCAACGGACACAGAGGCATTAAATGCTACAATTGTGAAAAATGCCAATTCAAAACCAAATACTGATCTGGTTTAAATAGACACATGAATGCGCGGCATTTGGACGAAGGCGAAATAGAGTGGCACCACTGCACTCAGTGTCCTTACAAGTGCAAAGAGAAATGCAGTTTGAAAAAACACATTAACGCACGGCATCTGGACGACCAAGACGCGAAGTGGTATGAATGTAAACAGTGCTCATTTAGATGTAGACACAATGACTCCTTGATGAGACATGTGAACGCCTTTCATTTAGACGAAAAGGACGGCATGTGGTATGAATGTAAACAGTGTCCTTACAAGGCTAGAGATTGTTCGTCGCTAACGAAACACGTGAAGTCCCAGCATTTGGAAGGACATGACATAAAATGGTATCAATGTGAAAAGTGCCAATACAAAGCCAAATATCCCTACTGTTTAAAGACACATATAAATCGGCGGCATTTAGACATGAATGAAATCAAGTGGCACCACTGCAGTGAGTGTCTTTACAAGTGTAAAGAGCACCGCCAGCTGAAAGACCATTTTAATGCACGGCATCGGAGCGACCAGGACGCGAAATGGTACGAATGCACATATTGTGCACACAAAACTAAGAATAGTTCGAATTTAAAACACCACATAAAAAGGTACCACTTGAAAGCGAAAATTGACCATTTAATAGCAGACAAAAATCGAGTTTGACACCACATGTGAAGTGTAAATAAAGTGTATTATAGTCGCATGCAGACTTTTGGACTTTTTTCATTCTATTAAGCGGGAACGCTAGACGAGAGACAAGTTTGAATTGGGCGCCATTTGTTGCCTTAAACGCAACCAGCAATTCTTCTTTAAATCTACCTGATGCGCTGGAAAAGACGACTACCGGACGTGGGTCATAAAAACATCGTAAGCCGATAATGCAGAATAGTGATAATTTATGACAGGCGGCCCACAACATACCTTCAGCACAGAACAATCATTTCTCGTATTATTTTGACATATTAATTTTAATATTTGACACAATTATTATATTATTTCAACACAATTTACACACTGTAGAGCAAACAAAGCTTATTAAGCCCGTCCATTACTTTGTTCGCCTAATAAATGTATTATTAATACCGTATTCTTGTTATTTAGATAAGGGAACAAATTAAATGCACAGTTCTATTTTTAAACGCTCTGTATTTTTGCTCGGTAAAAATGATAAATGCTAAGTTATATACTAAATGCTCAGTTAAAAAATAAATTCTCAGTAAAAATAATATATGCTTGGTGAAATAATAGCTGCTTAGTTAAATTAATAACTGTTCGGTTAAATAAGGAATGCTTAGTAAGAACCCTACGTGCTAAATATAAAAATTGGTCGAAGGTTATTTCGACAGAACTTCCCTCGCCCGCCAAGTGCAGCACAACAAATAATACTCCCGCAGAAGACACAAATTGAAAAATGAAATATACTTAAAATTGACAACAAATCGGAAAAATCGAAAAATCAAAAACTTTAAAAATCGAAAATTTAAAAAATCAAAACATTAAAATATCTGAAAATTGAAAATCCAGAAATTGAAAAGTTCTCAATATTCAAATCCTGAAAAAATGAGTATTGAAAACTTGAAAAATTCGGAAATCCAAGCATCAAAAAATAGTAAAATTGAAAAATGTAAAATTTAAAAAATCCAAAAATTGAGAAATAAAAAAAAAGAAAAATCAAAAATTTAAAAATTCGAAAAATTGAAAAATTAAAATATCGAAAAATTGAAGGATTGGGAAATCGAAGCACCAAAAAAATCAAAAAAACAAAAATTTAAAATTCAAAAATCAAAAAATTGAACACTCGAAAAGTCGAAAAATCGAAACATCGGAATGTTCGAATACTGAAACATCAACAGTAGAGGAGTCAAAATATCAAAAAATTAAGAAATCAAATTAGACCAAAATTGAAAAATCGAAAAGTTAATAATTGAAAAATTGAAACATTATAAATGAAAAAAAAATCGGTAAACCGAAAAATTGAAAAATCTAAAAATCGAGAAATTGAACGATCTAAAAATTAAATAATTTAAAAATCGAAGAATTGGAAAACCAAAAAATCTAAACCGAGAATTTGAAAAATCAAATAATCGACAAATTAAAACATCAAGGAAAACAAAAAAATTAACGGAAAATCTAGAACTTTAAAATTGAAAAATTAAAATACCTATCGAAAAATTGAAACCCGAGAAATCGAAACATCAAAAAATGAAAAAATTGAAGAACCGAAACATTGCAAAACCCCAGAACTGAAATACTGAAAAACTGAAAAATTGAAAAATCGAAAAAGTGAAAAAATTCAAAACTGAAATCTTGAAAAACTGAAAAATGTAAAGAAAATTGAAGAATCGGAAAAGTGAAAAAATCCAAAACTGAAACATTGAAAAATTCAGAAATCGAAAAATGGAAAAATCACAATTGAAGAAAAAATTGACAAATCGAAAAATAGAGAAATGGGAAAATCAAAAAATCAGTTAATTGAAAAATTGAGAAATCGAAAAATTTAGAAACGTCAAAAATTGAAAACTGAAAAATAAAAAAATTTAAAAATCGCTAAACTGAAAGATCGGAAAATTGAGAAATCGAAGTATGAAGAAATTCGAGAAACCGAAAATATGAAGAATCGAGAAATCGAAGAATCGATAATTTGAAAAATCCCAACAGTAATATATCGAAAAATTGAGAAATCGAAATCGAGCAAAACTGAAGTATCGTAAAGTTAATAAATTGAAAAACTGAAAATTTCTGAAAAAAAAAATCGTATCAAAAACTAAAAATTCAAAAAATCGAGAAATTGAACAATCAAAAAATCAAAACATTGAAATCCTAGTAAGTTGATAAATAGGAAAATTTAAAAACAAAAATTTTAAAAATCCAAGAATTGAACAACAAAAAAAATCAAAGCCTGAAAACTCAGAAAATCGAATGATCGAGAACTTAAAACATCAAAGAAAACAAAAAATCTAAAATTTAAAAATTCGACAGATTGAAAAATCATGTAACTGAAAAATTGAAAAATTTAAAATAAAAAAAAACCGAATTAGATTGAAAAATTGACGAATCGAAAAATCGAAATGTCAAAAAATTAAAACAACGGCAAATTAATAGTTATTTATTATACAAGCGGTTAAAGTGAATGTTTAATGAGCGGTCAGTTTAAGGCGAGAGTGGCGTATGCCGCGAGCGCCTTAAGACCGCGAGTTACACATTCATTTTAACCGCTTGTATAATACAAAATTTTATTCAATTTTGACAACCTCAAGTCCCAAATTGTGAAAAAATTGGTGATTCAAAGTTCAAACTCGAGAAACGTCAGAATTGACAGCGACCAAATAAAAGTTTTATACATATGCGTAGAATTTAGTGTACAATATCAGGTGTGTGTGTGTAGCATGGAGGAAGGAATATATTCCTTCCTCCATGGTGTGTAGTATGTGACTCTGGCGACGGTGTTTGTTTATTTTAAACAAACTAAAATTATCGAAAAATTGCAAAATCATGCAAGATTCTAACGACAAAACTTGCTCCCAGAAAAGACCAGATCAGAAAGTGTATCAAAAGTTCCTCAGATGGAAAGAGCAGCAAGACACTGGAAAAATTACAGAAATGGTAACCATGGTTTTAAAACAGCAAAATAAAAATTTTATTTCGCTAGCGGTTTAAAAATTTTATGGTGCTACCGGATAAACCAAAGCTTTAGTGGCCTATTGACGGCAAAATAAACGTTTTTTTACATGTCAAAATTGAATAAAAACTTTTAAAATTGTGACATTGAAAAATAGGAAATCAAAAATATTGAAAAATCGAAAATCAAAACATTTGCAAAATCGAGCAATTGAAAAATCACAAAAACTAGAGTTTGAAAATGTAGAATTTAAAATATTGAATAATTGAAGAAATAAAAGATCGAAAAATTAAAGAAATTAAAAAAAGAAAATTCGAGAAATTGATCCAAATTTTAATTGTTGAAAAATTGAAAAAGGGAGAAGGCGAAAGGTCTAACAACCGAAAAATCGAAATATTAAAATATGTAAAAAACTGAAAAACTGGAAAATTAGTAATTAAAAAACTGAAAAACTGGAAAATTAGTAATTAAAAAAGTTGAAAAATTTAAAATTAAAACAAATCGAAAAAGCCGAATTAGATTAAAAAATGTCAAACAATTAAGAAATCGGAAAAATAAAATAAATCAAAAATTGAAAAAAAAAAAAAACTGCAACCGTTTTTCCGGAATCGACCGTTGAAATATCAAGATTTTTAGAAATTGTCGAAAATTCGCATTTCGTAGCGATTCTTTCGAAAATGTTGCTCCGTGACCGTCAAAACCCTATATTTTTGGAATCAGCACGTCGAGATCTACGTCCCTGAATTTTTTCAGAATTTTTAGATAACTTTTTTAAAAGTAAAATTTTTCCAATGGTCCCCCCTTCTTCACATTTCGGCCAAATTTTGACATTTTCGAAACTCAACTAAACACATTTTTTTGTAAAGTTCGAACTCTAGAACTCAGTTCCGGGTTCGTTTCTTCGATAACTGCAACCGTTTTTCCGAAATTGACTTAAAAATCGGAAAGCTGAAAAGTCGAAAGATCAGAAAAACTAAAGCTTGAAAAATGTAGAATTTAAAAATTCGAAAAACCGAGAAATTTGGAAATCGAAAAATTGAAAAATTGTGAAATTGAAAAATCGACAAATCGAAACATACAAATTTTAAAAAATAGAAGCAACGCAAAAGCGAAAAATTAAAAATTAAAAGTGTTGAAAAATTTTAAATTTAAAAAATTGAAAAACGAATTAGATTAAAAAACTGAAGAATCGGAAAATGTCAAAAAATTATGAAACTGGGAAATAAGAAAAAATCAAAATTGAAACATTGAAAAGTCGGAAAAAATTTTAAAAATCGAAGAATGAAAAACCAAGAAATCGAAAATTCAAAAATCGAGAAATTGATCCAAAATTTAAATGTTGAAAAACTGACAAAACCAAAACTCAAAACTTAATTGAGAAATTAAAAAAACTAAAATTTAAAAAATTGAAAAATCAAAGTTAAAAAATCGAAAATTAACAACCGGAAAACTGAAATATCGGAAAATTGAAAAATAGATAAGTCGAAAAATCGACAAGAATATGTAAAAAAAATCGCGAGAACAAAACACAAAAATAAAAAAAAATTCAAAGTTTGATTTTTCATCCAAATATCCGGATGTTAACATTTTAAATAAAAAATTATTAGTTTTGTAGAATTTGGACATGACGTCATCTCATACGATATTCCTAAAAATTTTCAAAATTCGACAACATTCGATCTGGTAATTTAGAGAGATAGACGGAAACGAGAAACTTAATTTTTTGAGAAAAGCGGTTTGAAAAAACACATTAACGCACGGCATGTGGCTGACCAAGACGCGAAATGGTACGAATGCACACATTGCCCTTTCAGAACTAAGAATTCTTCAAATTTAAACGAGCACATAAAAAGGCGCCACTCAAATGCGAAAAGTGACAACGTCATAGCAGACAAAAATCGAGTTTAATTGTGAAGTTTAAACAAAAAGTACAGTCGTGGTGAATGTCCATGCAGACTTAGACTTTTCTCGTTCCATTAATATAGAAAATAAAAGAATTAAAAATTAAACGACTTGTAACTGTATAACGTGTTGCATAATTTTGAACTGTCACAAATTTACTGCCAACAGTAAGCAACCAAAGTACCAACATTTTGAGGTTATGTTTCGAAAAATTTAATTTCATATCCAGCATTTTCGAGTTCAATTTTTACTTTAGGTACACAATTTTGTGATGAAATCATCAATATTTTGCAAGGACACGTAAATCAATGTGGATTAGACTAAAAATAACAGTATTCCAAAAATTTCTGGGAAAATGGAGTGAGTCGAAACTGATTTAATCAACAGAATAAATGACACATTCATTAATTTTTTTGAGCCACCTAGGTATATAAGCAAATCCAAAAAAATATGAATGCAATGATAAATTACAAGTAAAAATTCATCATATTTTGCACAT